TGCTTTTCTCACGTCATATATGAACCATAATTGAAAACCTATTTTTACCTCATATTTTCCTAATACCGCTCTCTTTTATATAATAAGACGTTTTGGTTTTGAACATGTTCTTAGAAGAAAAAACATAGTGATAATTATAACACCAAATTAATTTTATTAAATTTAACATTGAATATATTCTTATCATATATGTATTTTTCTTATAAAATGTTGCTATGTTTTTTTTATATGGATCTTCTGCGGTACTGCACCCAGTAGTAGCAGTACTAACAATCCCCACTGATTTATCAATAAACTTGATCAAGCTAAAAAAAAGTTTGAGGGGCATATGTTGAGACATTTTTGTGATTGATCAGGTTCAGAGGGCGCAACTTCGGCGAACCTCACCGACGATCAGCTCCTCGGCGGCCTCCTCACCGCCGCATTCAGCCCGCAGTCATGCCGGAGCCGGTACGAGTTCGCCGGCTACCACAAGAGGAAGCCGCCGCACAAGCCTTCCCCCTACCTCGTCGCCAAGCTCCGCAGCCACGAAGCGCTCCAGAAGCGCTGCGGCCCCGGCACGGCGCCGTACGACAAGGCGCTCCGGCAGCTCAAGTCCGGCGATGGCGCCGCCGCCGCTGATGGCGACGACGACTGCCGCTACCTCGTCTCCATCAGCTACAACCGCGGGCTAGGCAACCGCATCATCGCCATCGTCTCCGCCTTCCTCTACGCCGTCCTCACCGAGCGCGCGCTCCTCGTCGCGCCGTACAACGGCGACGTCGCCGCCCTCTTCTGCGAGCCCTTCCCGGGGACGACGTGGCTGCTCCCCGACGGCGGTCGGCGGTTCCCGCTCCTGCACCTCCGGGACCTCGACGGTAAGTCCAAGGAGAGCCTGGGAGCCTTGCTGAAGAGCAACGGCATCGTCTCCGTCGCCGCCGGCGTGAACGGCAGCACGTCGTCGTCGTGGTCGGGCCGGCCGCCGCCGCCGTACGTGTACCTCCACCTCGACGGCGGCGCCGACTACCACGACAAGCTGTTCTACTGCGACGAGCAGCAGCGCCTCCTCCGCGGCGTGCCGTGGCTGCTGATGAAGACGGACAGCTACCTCGTCCCGGGGCTCTTCCTCGTGCCGTCGCTCCGTGGCGAGCTCGAGCGGATGTTCCCGGAGAAGGACGCCGTGTTCCACCACCTCAGCCGCTACCTCCTCCACCCGGCCAACGCCGTCTGGCACGCCATCACGGCCTACCACCGCGACCACCTCGCCGGCGCCGGCCACCTCGTCGGCATACAGATCCGCGTGTACCACGAGGAGACGCCGCCGGTGTCGCAGGTGGTGCTCGACCAGGTCCTCTCCTGCGCACGCAGGGAGAACCTCCTCCCGGCCGCAGGGAACACGTCGTCGTCGGACCAGGCCGTGCTCGTGACGTCGCTGAGCTCGTGGTACTACGAGAAGATCCGCGACGAGCTCGGTGGCGGCGGCGGTGGCGTGCACCAGCCGAGCCACGAGGGGTTGCAGCGGATGGGCGACACGGCGCACGACATGAGGGCGCTGAGCGAGATGTACCTGCTCAGCACCTGCGACGCGCTGCTCACCACCGGCTTCTCCACCTTCGGCTACGTCGCGCAGGGGCTCGCGGGGTTGCGGCCGTGGATCATGCCGCGGCGGCCGTGGTGGGAGAAGGAGGCGGCCACGGCGGTGCCGGACCCGCCGTGCGCGCGGGTGGCGACGCCGGAGCCGTGCTTCCACTCGCCGTCGTACTACGAGTGCGCGGCGAGGCGGAACTACGACGACATTGGCAAGGTGGTGCCGTACGTGCGGCGCTGCGAGGACGTCAGCTGGGGCATCCAGCTCGTCAATGGAAGCAGCCAGAGCCAGTGGTAGTGTAAAACTGTAGATCACTGAATTGTATAGAGTAGAACATGTGTTCAGATGTTCCACAAAAATACAAAAAGGCGCATGCATTGTACACCACAAATAATCAAATAATCTAGGCAGATGTAATGATATAATGGCAAGAAATAATCTTAGAAGTTAGAACACTGTGCCATTATACTTATAGCAATCTATGACAGGATGTGACATTACGATATTAAATGTTTCATCTTAACCTGGTTGCTAAACTTTGTCCCTGTCACATCGGATGTTTGGACACTAATTTAGAGTATTAGACTATTTATAAAACTAATTGCATAAATGAGAGCTAATCTGCGAGACAAATTTTTTAAGCCTAATTAATACATAATTAGCACATGTTTACTGTAGCATCACATAGGCTAATCATGGATTAATTAGGCTCCATAGATCCGTCTCGCGAATAAGTCCAGAGTTATGGAATAGGTTTTGTCATTAATCCATGTTTAATACTTCTAATTAGTGTCCAATCATCCGATGTGGCAGGGACTAAAACTTTTTAGCCCTATCCAAACCCCCCCTATATTATTACACGGGATGAGTATTATTTTCAGACAAGTTGGGTTTGTTCTTACATAACGGGGTTTTCTTATTGTCAGCTTATCAGCAGACATGAGCTTCTGATGAAAGACAAAACAGAGTTCAGTCAGAAACACTGCTGAATGCAGTACAGAGTTCTGAGTAGCACACTGTTGTTTACCATACTGACAGAAGCTGCCTATACAACACTACAAAATACGCGATCTTAGGTTGATAAGTGTGACATTCAGAAAGAATGTGCCCTAAAATTAGCAATCCTGAATTCCTTATCAAGTTTGTGAAGCCACCAGTAAATAGGACAGGAGAGTTCTTCGTGTTCATTAAGCACATGAAAAATCATTTGCCTGGCCACCACCACTTGTTGGCAGGAGGTGGTGGTGTAAGTACGTCAAGCATGGTCTCCTTCTCCCTTGGTGTCAGTGGAACCCCCCGGACAAGATTCAGAGCCATGATGTGAACGTTAGTCCTCTGCCTGTGCTTTTGGTAAGCCCAGACACCAGCTGCTACGCCACCCACGATCACCTGCTCAGAATTTTACTAGATCAGGTGTTGAACAGCTTCCTCTAAAATCCCAGTTGATGAAGGAAAAGCTTTGTTTGTGTTGTTAGAGAACATATCAAGATCAAATTCAACAGATAGCAGAATGAGGTGAATAATTACTGGAGTCATTTGATTCATTAATTACTGGAGTCATTTGATTCATTCTATCAAGTTCTCAAGAATAAAAGGATATTTTTATTAGCAAGAAAAAGAAGACGATGCTTTTAGTAAATCTTGCTATCGACGTAGAGAGATTAACTTGAGATAAAACAGGATATCATTGGAATAAGAAATGATGGATTATTTTATTTGTAAATTAAAATATTGTGTTTCCATAGCTGAGTATCACCAAATATGTAAACATTTTAAAAGGGAAGCTTCAGCAGTAAAGTTTCTACTCAAGCTAAAACATCTTGCTGAAAGAGTTGCAATGATGAAAAATGCTTAGGTCCATCATGACTAACAAGCAATTCATAAGAAAACGGATCATATGCCAAACAAGTGCATATGTTATTGCATTCAACTAAAGCTGCTTTTATTTAAAGAAAGTAAGTTACAGGAGAATAAATTAAAACGAAATTCTAATTAAGGCTTACCGGTGATAACCATATGGCAGCAGTTTGAAGATCAAATTTAGGGGTATATAGAATTGTTTCTCCATAGTCAGCTTGTAGTTTTTTGTATATCTCCTTATCACTCTTTCCAGATTTGATTTCATCACGAATTAGCTGCAAAAAGCCACAAAGAAATTCTTAACGACAGACAATCAAGTTCCATTGACCTAAGAATGAATTGCAATAATATTTCACTACCAAAAGTTTTTCAAACGAAACAAGGTCAGGAACCAAAGGCATACAGAGTTACATAGTACAGAAGGAACCTGTACCTTCCTAAGCAGAATTGCAATGTCAGCTTGTGAATCTTCAATGGACTGGCTGCCGCACTCGGTGCATCGGACATTGTGGCTAATATTTCTTGCACGGCTTTCAATAATTTGTCGTTGCTTCACATCCTCTTCAGTGGCCATGACAAAAGACAATGTGCTCCGTATGATAGCCAATTAGCTGTATATAAGAACCTGAAGAAAGAAAATGAAAGTTATCACTTAGTAATTGGTCTAAAGAACAAAGCTGTACGGCAATATGAGTCGATGACAAGCAATAATTATCATTATTTACTATTTTGAAAGGCCCAACTTGTGGTCTTTGCATGACCAATCTGGTCTGCCAGACCAGAGTAAAAGAAATTCAGGCTAAGTAAGCTACACAATGTTGTTTTACTCAGCTCATTTACTCTTCCAAGCTTGAACAAAGCCTTGAATCAGGTGGAACAAAGCCCTGTACCCCATTGGATATTCACATCTTTAAGTTAAGAGCATGGACAATTAATACTGGCAGCACTGCTACATGTATTAAGTATCAGTCTTTTAAGATAAACCCTGACCTGGTATCTCTCTCGTGACCTTTCAATAGATGCTAAGTACATCAGATTCCAAGTAAAGGTGTACAGAGTGGGAAGCTAGCAAGATGCTTGTGCATTTATTGCCAGGTGAGCTAAGAGGTGGAGAAAATGGAGAAAAAATTATCAGAACAATGCATCTCATTTCATAGCATTAAGCAATATGGTAAATATATACATGAGACATGGGCAACATGGGCCAAACCTAAACTTTGTGCCTATGATATACAACAATGAGAAATCTACAACTCATCCGCATTGGCAGGTTGAGCTTACTAAGGTTTTCACAAACAACCAAGCCTTTATTTCTTTCTCTAAGAAAAAGGAAGGGCAGGAGCACTGCCGAGTGCATTAAAGGAGAGTGAAAAAAGTTGAACAAGAAAGGCCAAGCGTTCATCTCTCTGTTATAGTTGTGAACAAAAAAATTGTGACTGCGATATATGTGTCATACAGCAAATAACAAGAAAGATTGTTGCAGTAGAAATGTGGTTATGAACTGAACACTGACTGCAAAACAGTTAAAGTACCTAGCTACACAGCAAATTGTGGCTTTGAATAAATTGAACTCTTAAAATAAATATTTAATGATTTTGGAATCACATATACCCAGTGGTGGCTCTAGGAACGATTCATTGGGTGGTCCTACTTGATACTCCAAATTATCACAATGTTACACTACTTTTCTACTCTCCGGGTCTTCATAGACATGAAATTCATTACAATATCTCACTGCAAGTTACACTACAAATTAACGAGACAAACAACAATTTTCCACTAGCACTACTGTATTGACTACTCACTGAGTCGTTGCCAAAAAAAAAATAATAAGTTTCAGTTTTCTCTAATCTAAAGTATATCAGCATATGACTTTAAAGTAGTAATTAGACAGATGAACTTGCATTCTAGAATTACACTATATAAATAAATGAATCTAACAATGACAAAAGGCCGGGCAGCAGGAATCAATTTTAAGTTTTCCATTCACCGATCTATTGAAAATAAAGACTAAAGACTACTCAAGGTGAGCAAGAAATGAGTACAACTCACCGTTGCACTTTGCCCGGGCAGAAGGAGAGCTGGAAAGGCTGAAAGGGGGAGAGCCAGCCAAGCCAGGGGGGGCTCGCCGGTCTCGGTCGTCACGGAGAGCCGAAGAGGGAGATGGCGAGGGCCGAGAGGAGGAGAGCAGGGAGGGCGAGGAGCCGAGGGGACCCGACGCGGGGCGGGGAGAATGGCGGCCCCGGGCGGTCGATGGCTGCGGCCTCTGCTGCGTCGATGGCCGCCGGCGCCGGACGACAGGAGCGGGGAGACGACGGCGCGACGCGTGCGCCTCTCTTTCCTGCCTTCCTGCGTCCCTAACCTAACCCCTCAACTGGGCTTTTTTTTTTGTTGGGCCGCCCCGGTGGGGGTCTTCGTGGGCCAAATTCCATAGGAACCGCCCCTGGAAGGAAAAAGTACACCGAAGGTCCCTCAACTTGTCATCGAGTTACAAAATCATCCCCCAACCACAAAACCAGATAACAGGTGTCCCTCAACTAACAAAACCGTTTACTCCGGTTTTGTCCGATGTGACGGCTGAGTCAACGTGGGCCTCACCTGTCAGGATGCCACGTATCACACTCTCTCTTTCCCCCTCCTCTCCCTTCCTCCTCTCTCTCTCTCTCTAACTTTTCTCAGCGCGTGGTGTTAGGCCGAGTCACCGAGAGCGTCGACGTCATCGTTGACGAGGGCACCGCTACCATCCCGTTCCCGGCGACCGCCGCCGCCGTCGGTAACCTCCGCAACGGCGGCATCAGAGGAGTTGGAGCAGCGGGTCGTTGGGGCTGTGGACCACGATGAGGAGGGTGAAGGCGAGGACGGCCGCCACAAAGAGCTCGAAGAGGAGGTTGCCCCCCGACCGCAGCGTGGCGCGGAGGTCGATCCCGATCCCGGCGCCACCACGCGCCGCCCCTCCCCCGCCGCCGCCTCGTGGGCCTCGTGGGCGGCGGCCGGCGGGGGAGCCGCTGCCATGAACGCACTCGCCAAGTTCAGCCCGGAGGTGAGCCAACCAAACACGCCCCTATATAAAGCCCGCGACCAACACGCACCGCACCGCAAAACCAACACCGCGGAGTCGGAAGGGCGGCGGCGGGCTCCTGTCGTGCCTGCCGTCAGGAAGGGCGGCGGCGGGTCGACGCGCTCACCGGCCGCATCGCGCAGGAGAGCCTCCGTGGCGAGCGCCGCCGGCTCTCCTCGCCCACTCCCTCGGGCTGGGGCTCCTCGCCTCCGCCTCCACGTCGGGCCTCCTCGCCCGTGGCCCGGCCCTCCTCTGGACCTGCAACTTCCAGACGCAGCTCACCTCCGCGCTCGCCGTAGATGGGACGCCGCCTCCGCGCTCTCCACGCTGTCCACCGGCGCCTCCGCCGCCGCGGAGCTTGAGAGCCCCCAGCTCGAGCTCTTCTTCGCCGCCACCGACCTCCACGTCCACCTCCTCTGCTGGGAGGACAACGCCGTCGTTGAGGCCGCCATCAGCCCGTCACGCGCGCGAAGAAGAGCGCGTCACCATCGCGACGGGGAGCGCGAGGATCGCTCACTGACGCCGCCGCTCCGCCACTGCGCTCCCCCGACAACGCCGCCGATTCGCTTGCTCCCCTGACGCCCACCACCGGGCACCGGCCAGAGAAGTGAGAGAGAGAAGGGATAGAAGAGAGGAAAGAGAGGTGTTGACGTGGCCACGCTGACATGCGGGACCCACATAGGTCCCACGCTAACTCAGCCGCCACGTAGGACAAAACCGGAGTCAAAACCACCGAAAGACCTCAAGTGAACGGTTTTGTTAGTTGAGGGGCTCCCGGTATCTGGTTTTGTGGTTGAGGGACGATTTTGTAACTCGATGACAAGTTGAGGGACCTTCGGTGTACTTTTCCCCCAGGAAAGGAAAGGAAAGCTAAGTTACAAGTCTAAGGCCACGTTTGTTTTGGCTTAAGGGCCTATTTGGGGGAGTTTCTCCCAGAATCAGAAGCTCTCTTAAACAGTCCAGCTTTTGGTTCAGATTTTAAGAAGCTGTAGGTATAGAATCTAAAAAATGAACTAGAAGGCAGAAGCTGGGAAACCCAGCTTTTCCAGATTCTTGGAAGCTGGCCACCAATCAGCTACTTCTCAGAATTTTAAGCTCCCCAAACAGGCCCTAAGATGCAATTTAGATTATTGAGCCAGATTAATATAAGCTGAATTATAATAAACCAACGTAGAATAAGTTGTTAGATGTTTGTTTCTCTGGATTATTAGTGGTTTATTAGTTGTTAGCCACCCAATAATCTAAAAAAGCACCTTTAGAGTGGATTACTAGATTATAGTAATCTGGCTTATAGATTGTAATAATCTATCATAATAAACTATATGTTTGTTTTAACTTACTATTAATAATATAGATTATAATAATCCTAAGCTGAATTAAATAGGGCCTATGGCTAAAACTAGCACCTACAATTATGGATGGTGTCATGGTGGGATAGAAGAAAGAAGGGTAAGATGGAAGGGATTAGGATTACTGCAAAATTATCGTGGGTTTTATTTTGGCTACAATCTGATGCCCCAAAATCTGTCGTTTTGGTGATCTATCGCAAATCTGTCGTTTTGGTGATCTATCGCTGCCAGGAGTACGAGAAATTTGGGCATAAATTCAACTGGAACTGCTGTCCACATCCTGATAGAAAATGAAGCTAATCTAAATCTGGCATTCTAGATCATTCAGTAGTGGTGAGCACACATTTCTTCATTGCTCAGTGACAAATAATTTAAGTGCAAAAGTTCTGGCTTGAACTAACATGCTTGTCTTACCCATCTCACTGCTACGACAGTTATCAATTCCCATCAGGAAACAGAAAATGTTATCAATCCTCTTCCTGGCAATAATGTGGTAACAGAAGGAATTAACGGTTCCAGGTAAGAGTAATTCCAGTGGTGTTCAAGTTACTAGCACTAATTCCAGGAGGCTGCAGCAACGACGACGGTGGCCTGGTCGCGGCAGCTCACGGGAGGAGGTCGCGGCAGCGACAGCCACAGCCTGAGTGCAACGGCTCGCAGGTGACCTCCTTTTCCATGGCGGCAAGCAACAAAAAGAGAAGTGTTCCAGAGGAGAGATGACCAATAGTTTTTTTAAAACTTATGACTAGGTATAAGCAATGGTTTTTTTAATCCTTATGACTAGGTATTAGCTATAAGGGTAGCTCATCCAAAAGAACCTATAGGGATCACTCCCACATGTATATGGACTGCTTAGGGGGCTTAAGACTTCCTCTATTTTCATATTGTGGATGCCCCAAGGGATTAACACAATAAAAGTACGGATACGGTTGAATTTCAGAAGCTACAGAAAAAGAACCAACCTCTTCTGAACAGAAATTCTCTTTAAGACATGCAAAATAAATTAGCTCAGGCAGAACGCACTTTATTTTCATGTAGCTGGCAGAGCCAGTGCTGTTATTCCTCTTTAAACAGTAAAAAAAACGTATCCACGGTTCAAACTATGGCCATCAGTAACCACACTTCCCGTCTTTTTTTCTCCATACTGACAGTGTACAAATGACAAATGATGAAGACAACACAGATTACCAGATACATCTAGCAGAAGACCAACTATACAGATGCAACCTCACTACATGGATGGTTTATGCACGAGCTAGGTCGCCCTTACTGGTCACAGGTGCATGTCTGGGTACTTCCCTGGTCCAGTGTAGGGCGCTGCCTGTCCGTGGTATGTTGGCTTGGTTCAGTGATCAACTTTCACGGTAGACTTTCCCAGCAGGTATTCAGCAACAAGTATAGTGTCAGATGCTAATCATGTAGGTTGTTGTTGCCTCAAACTCGCTGATGAAATCTGCAATGAAAGAGTATTGCTGCTTGTTAATCCTGAATACCACATGGTAAATCATCAAGTTCCAAAACCAAGCTTGCTATCAACATGGCCATATGAAATATCAACTAAAAATCCAGGCAGTTCATCTTGTGAGTTTCAAATGTGCATCGCAACTCGCAAACCACCTTTAAATAAAAAATTGCCACGTTAAAGACAAGATTAGATAAGACAGATTAACAGATCCAAATTGTGTTGTCAGATTCAGAATAAGATTAGCACCTTTATTGTGTTTGTAGAAGCGAAACTTCTATCTCTTGCAAAGTCTTTCCCTTTGTTTCAACCACATGGCGCCGCACAAATATTGCTGCTACCACACAAGCTGAGGAAAACATTGTGTACAGAACTTGTGGACCAAGTTGCTCCAGAAGCCGCAAGAACAACAAACTGACAAAAAAATTTACCACCTGCAGCATTTAAGCATAGCATGTCAAGACGTCGATACGAATCATGGTAGAACTACAATGAACCATGGCAAGTAAATAGTGCGCCCTACCAAATTATTGTTGCAACCCTACACTTATCATTTACCATTACATAATCAACCATATCGAAATGTCTAAGTTTTTTATTATCTAATTTAAAAATCTGGCCCCATTATTCATTTATTATTAACAGCATACAGTACCTTTTATCTTATGGCGATTGGGGGAAACGATTTTGTTACACAGAGAAAGCTGCAGCTTACAGAGTCAAATATACTTCTGAAATTCTGATCTTCATTACCATAACCAGGGTTGGTAAAACAGTGTGGAAATGCTATTGAGGACTTAGCAGCTTGAATATTTTGAATTGATCTAATATACCTGTTCTAGCTCAGCCTGACTAAACAACAGCTCAAATTCTTCACCAGGTATTTAGCACTAGGCTCCTTTTATCATTGAACAATGTGAACAGCTATGGTTACATACTAGCAGTAACATATTTTTAAACATCCTAATGGAACAGGAAACATGCATAGACACATAATACCAAATATTAACATATTAAACCAAAAAGTGAAAATCAGCAACGAAATTTCCACGTTGAATTTCACTGTTTGATCTAACTGCCAGCATTTTGACATGCAGTGTCTATTTTTTGAGGATGAAAAATGAACTCCTATCCAATGCACAGACATGCAGTGTCTTTTTTTTTTTGTGATGGAAACATAACTCCTTACCCAATGCACGGACATGCACAGAGCCATAGCCTTGGCCCGTATTTTGTTTGGGAAAATCTCAGGCAAAAGAAGTCCTGGCACTGGACCTGCTCCTAACGAAAATGTCAAGACAAACCTGAAAAAGAAGCACTCAACTATAAGAAACTGGTAGACTTACCATAACATTTGTACTTAATGAGCCAGTAAAGTATAATTGTCAGGAACAATTAAAGAGTTCTGCTAAGAGCAGCATAAAGGTAAACTGTCTCATAATTTAACTAGTTACAAATTAAACCAAATGGAAAGCCCTATTGTTCATATAAAGAATAACTAAGGATGCACAACAACGCTGAGGGTGAAGTCAGGGGAATCAAAATGAAACAACTGCAAAGCAGAACAATATCATGTATGCAACTGATATCCCCAGTGCCATTTACATGTCAGATCGATATATTGACACAGAATTGTTCCACCATATGCAACCAAAAGGTTGCCTGAACAAGTTCTTGGAAGAATTTATACGCAACAATGTTTTGTATCAGGTTGAATAATTTGTTTCCATCCTTCTTATAATCTATTACCTCTAATGAGGTATAAGAGAAATGATATCCTTTGGGTTGATGTGAAATGGATGGTCTGAACAAATTTAGAGCACCATAAAAAAAATCCTATTTGTAGATACAATAAGTAGAGAATTTTGCATATTTTTAAGCCTGATATTGGCACATTTGGCACAAAAATGTAGCATAAATTGGCTTAACCAATAGGAGCATAAAACCTCCTGCTTAAGGTATTCAACTAGTAGTCACAGCTATTTAGTTTAGCCTCCTAGACATTAATAACTAAATTCAGATAACTTGAAAGATAGTAGAATCAAAGTAACGGAAGACATAAAATTCTAAAACTTACAATAGCATGCCACCAACTGAAAGATATACGCTTGCAGAACCAAGGTGGTGACGATTTGCTCCAACAGCCTGAAGTCCCATTGCAAAGGCCTATAGCAGTAAAGATGTGCAGTGAGTAATGTTCAACATTATCTTCCAAGTTCCAATCACAGTGATAGCTTACCATGCCAAGGAAGCTCCCTGAAAGAAGTACTTTCCTTCCTAGTTTGTCCATTAGAAGCATAGCTACAATTGAGCCTGGAAGCAAACACATCAAACAAAATCCATCAACCATCAATATAACAGAACAGTAGAACAACAGAAAAAAAGAGAAGATGCTCCAATGAGCCCACCTGATAAATTTGCTATCCCCATGCATATGTTCGCAAGGTTAGGGGGCACACCCACACTTCTGAACACAGTTGATGAGAAATAGAACACAGAATTTATGCCGGATAACTGTTGTAAAGCAAAGAGCGTTGTGCCAATAAAAACAACTGTAGCAAAAAGGGACTTGTAATGAACAAACTTCAAGGCCAAACATAAATAAGGTTATAGTTTAGCGCAAATACACAACAGAATGGAAAACACATAACAGCTTGTACCATTAAAGTTGCGACCATAAAACAATTCCGAATACTTCACATTTTCTCCATCATCGCCTCTTTCAGATCGGGAGAGTTCTGCCATAGCAGACTTAACATGAAGAGGACCTAGAAGTTTTTCAAATTGTATCTCTGCTTCAGTCGTTCTTCCACACTGAATAAAAGATAAGACTCGTCAATAATTTTCAATGTATGTGCTACAAGTTAAATATAAATATGTCAATACAAATTGCCAATATAAAGAAGTATGGGAGTTGTATAAGTCTGTGTTGAGAATTGGTTTTCTCAGAAAAAAAACTAATAAAATGTTTTGCTCATATCAGAGCTGTATTTGCATGGTGCACAATCAGAAAACAGGCACAGTATTGAGGAAACTAAAGATCAACGATATTTATCCGAAAATCTAATGTGTGCTTTCTGAAGCAAATACCAATATGTGCCAATGGACTACTCTTCTATAGATATCATTCGTGTTACCATCTAAGTAACAATAGGCAATAAGTTTGTGTCAACCCATTATTAATTGTAAGCACAAAAAACCTCAGGATGATGGTAGATTGCAAGTTCTAACCAACAGATTAATTGTTTGATTTAATACGACAGTGACCTTCAAACATTCATGGAAAAATCAGCATGTGGTATTTGCATATAGTTTAAGAGATCAAATGTCGTTTCCGACAAAGTGACTCCAAGATGGTCCTCAAATATGAGTATCTCATTTTACGACTAGCAAAGGCACTTAAGATCAAATTTGCCGAAGCACAATTATAGAGAATCAGACACCTGAAGGGTGATTTAAGTTGGAAGATCATAGATAGAAAATAAGCAGCTTCCCCCAAGATAAACACACCTTATACAGCCACTGGGGGCTCTCAGCACAGAACTCCATTCCAAGAGCTTGTAAAGTTGCTGGAACAGCTGCAACCCAGAAACACACCCTCCACCTGTTAATAGCAAAGGATAAAGTTAGATGCATCAGATTTACTAACTACACAAAACATGTAGAGAGCTACAGAAGAAAGCATCTAACCATCTATCAATATCCTTCACAGGTGTACCAATTAGGAGAGATACTACGATTCCAAGGCAGGTTGCAATCTGAACAAAGCTCCCATATGTGCCCCTCACTGAAGGAGGAGAAACCTGGATCCAAGGGATTATAAGAAAAAGGTACAAATGAATAAGATTAATATTTGATACAGACAATCAGAGATTGAGGCATAGGTGCATAACACCAATTACATACCTCTGTTATGTACAGTGAAGCTACTGGTGGACCTAATCCCATCCCTGTTCCAACCAAAAATCTTCCAAGAAGCATACCCTCCAGACTATTGGTGAGAGCGCTGCAAAATGTTTCTTCTTCAGGAAGGTTCAATGAAACAGAATCATAGGAATAACTAAGTTCAGGCATAGTTCCTTCCGGCAGCTCTCAAGTATTAGGTGCTCATAGATGTAAGTATTACACAATTGCATTTTCGGAAATAACAGTCTTGGTGCAACTACCAAAACGGATCCTATTAAATAACATGCAGAAGATAAAAGTGCTAAAGATTCAAAAAAAGGTTAGCATCTTAAATATTATCATTCAATGCACTTAAGTGAACTTTAGTTTGTGGATGCCATGTAGCAATGGCAATGTAAAAGCACCTCAAGGTAATCAGAGCACATATGGTTTATGTTGTTATTATTCAACTTATCAGCAACTCTACAGCACCAATAAATAAACCAAGACTTAACACCCATAAGTGACTTGGTATGCTATATCCAAAACGTACACTAGCTATCAATTAATAAGAGTGTTGAATTATTGAAAGGCTAGAACTTTTCCCTTTTTAAGGATAATCAATCTAAGTACATCATGAGCGCAATTAAGAAAAGAATATTTACTATTGAGCCATGGTTTTCTAGAAGATGCGTGTAATTAATTTTCAGTACTCTTCAGTCTATTGTGGCTAGTGAAAGTCAATTTATCGTAAAGTTCGATTGCTTTCATGTTTGCATGTGAAGTTACACTAGCTCCACAGTCAGTCGAAGAAACCATATAAATTTACCTAATGGCGGGATGGCAAACCTAGTATTCTCAATATACTACTCTCTGCACTGTGTTAAGAGGACCACACATTTTATTCATCTCCTACATAACTCGGAGATTCAAAATCCCATGGAAGGACGAATCCATCAAGCTACTACTTGTCACACCACCAATATATCAATATGATACATAAGAAAGAGTAAGTTTGTTGTTCCCAACATTCAACTTTCCAAATAAAGTATACAATACCAACAAGAAACCAGGCTACCAGTGGCCACTGACCTTATTTGTTTAACACCAAGAAACCAACAACTCCAGCTAGAAAATAAGAAATGCTAGCAAGTGGCAATTAAATACATTCCAAACTGACCAAACTGCACATGGACTAGGATTTAGTGGAAGTGACCATCAACAGAAGTGTGATGCCATGGATTACCACACATGGACTAAGGATTCAGAGGAAGTAGCCATCAACAGAAGTGTGACACCACAAATTACCACGCATGGACTAAGGATTGAGAGGAAGTAGCCGTCAACAGAAGTGGGACACCACGAATTACCTTACGGCAGCGCCGATGATCATGGGCAGCGCACTGAGCTGAAACGCGCGACGCCTGCCGATTCCGTCAGCGATGGATCCACTGAACAGGCACCCAACAAACGCACCACCCAGGCAGATGCTCACCACAAGGCCTGAAACACAGGACACCCAATTGCTCCCATGCCCAATAACATCAAATTTCACCCGAATCGTGGCTGCTTACTTACCTTCGGCGAGGGTGTTCCCGGCGAAGCCGAGGTCGGTGGAGATGCTCTCGAGCGGCTCGTTCACGACCCTGCACCAAACCAACCAATCACACGCACGCGCTCCACACCGTGAGTTGGGAAAACAACCACAACCAGAAGAAGAAATGAGAAAATGGATGGCACGCACCCGGAGTGGTAGCCGAAGAGGAAGGAGGTGAGCGTGGCGACGCACACGTGCGGCAGCGACATGCGCCACGACGGGGCCCCGCCGTCCGCCATTTTCGCTGCAGAAACCGCCACCGAGCACAGAAAAAAAAAACCTCAAAATCTCACCACCCAAAAAAAAATCGCAGGGAAAAAAAAAGAGAAAAAACCGTGCACGGACCTGGCGTCTCGACGTCGAGATCCATGGCGGCGTCCCTGGACGGCACGCGCTTGTACGCCGACGACTTAAGCTTCCACCGCATCGGCGCTGATCGGAGAAAGAGACAACGCAACGCAACGCAACGCAAGCAGCAGCAGGAGGAGGTCAGTCTAGGGATTTGGGAAAGCGGAAGGCGAGATCGATCTGGTGGTAAATGCCTCGACACTCGCCTCGGGGATGTATTAATAGCGGTGGTGGCGTGGCGTGGTTAGCACATGAGAAGAAAAAAAAATCAAAAAATCGAGGAGGAGGCGGCCTACAAAGTTACCTGACCACCACCGCCGCGTGCGCGGGCATCAGATCGGCCGGAGGGGGCGACGGCGACGGCGAGGGGGTGGTGGCGGCGGCTTGGATCTGGGAGAAAGGGGAGGTGATTTGATGCTGTGAGGCTGTGGATCTCTCTCTCTCTCTCTCTCTATCTCGGGGGGAGTGGGTTTGGTGGCGTAGCACGGAGAGGAGAGGAGAGGAGCGGAGCGGAGATGGCGGGGGATGAGCTCGTGTCGTGAGGCTGTGGTGCTCTCGTGCGACGAACGAATGCCACCTTTGCTTCTGTTGGTTCCTTTTTTGCTTGGAGCAAAGCTTGTTGGTACACTTCATTTAAGAGAACGGGGTTTTGCACAATAGCCCTTGAGGGTATAGGGTTTTTCAGACAACTTCAGCGGCTACTTCCTCATTTTCTGTAAACACGCTTATAAAAGAAGAAATCTATATAAAAGTTTTCAGAAACAAAACAAATTAATATTTATAGGTTTGTAATAAATAATACTCAATTTATAATTCTCTAATAACATGTATCATTCCGCGTATCGCAAAAATCTCGACCGAACAGCAAACCTTGTTTTTGGTTTCTTTACTGGATTATTTGCTCCATGCTTTGAGAAAAAAAGTTCTCTTCTCTTAAACCACTTATTTTATATTATTTGTTAAGTTTATTTATCAAACTATTTAATTTATCCTTAGAATCAAGTAAATAATCCTACAATAACAATTTGCTCAACGATTTGTTTGAAACTGTGCCAAGGTTCTATTTGGGGTGCGTGATACGTCTTGATAGTATTACATTATATAAAACAAATGGTCAAACGTGTGTTGAAAAATCAAAGTAATCATCCATTTTAAAAAGGAGGTAGTATTATCCATTTGCATAGTATTATCGAACATAGTATTTAAAAGTCTTAGCACATTGGATGAATCGTTTTTTAGGTAATGGAATAACCGGAATTCAACGAGCTACAATCAATTATTACAAAGTCCACACATGAACAAACTCAGCACACACTGACATAATATAAAGAAAACATAGACTAAGAAACACCAACACACGATAAAAGAACCCTTAATTACTTAATTCTATTTGAGAATCTCCATCTGAAGTTGACAAAAAGGTGCATAATCGTCGACTCAAGTTTACAAAATGCTTCATTTATTATCTTGATATCATCATTATGCCTTTATAGTTGGGTCTAACCCCGAAACCAATATATTGCCCTGAAAAGTACCTGCAAATAAGATTTTGATGATGTTTTATCAAAAATCATATCATTCTACTATGCCAAAGAGCCCAACATTATAACGGAAGCCTCTACAAGAATAAGTTTCTTAACTTTTTTTATTAACACTCACCAGCCAATTCCCAAACATATAAGAAACACTATGTGGTGTGTATAATCCAAATGAGAATTGAATTGATCTCCAAAGAAATCTAGAAAAATGACAATCCAGGAAAAGATGGTAAAATTGTTTATTTTTCATATAAAAACAATATCTCAAACTACCATTCCAATTCCTCTTAGCCAAATTATCTTTTGTTAACACATTCGATGAATCATGGTGTTGAAAAAAGTTAATTTACAAAAGTTTTAAGTTAGGAAAAGCTCGTATACATATAAAAAAATTCCTTGGAAAGGATTTGAGTTGGGAAAAGATTTGAGTTCGGGCTGGTTTAATATAGCCAGCCAAATTTAATCCTTTGAGGCAGAATGCGAAAATACAACAAAGATAGTGGACGCCCATGCAAAGTCTCCAAACCAGAAATCCCAGTACGCAACGTGTGGAGGTTAGGCTGTGCGCGCGCTGCGGCCACCGTGACGCGTGTTCGCTAACACCCCGGGTCCACCGCCACCACGCCCGACCTTTTGGTGGTGGTGGGTCGGCGCGGGTCGTAATCGCAACGAAGAAGAAGATGCCCACCCCCGGTGAACGGATCCCGCACGCAGCACGCTCCTCCTCGCGACAGTGTTACTCTGTGCTACAGACATGTGGGGCCTACGGTATCAGGGTCCCACGTCCCAGCGACTGTTAGAGTGTCGGCCGGTTCTGGTGCCCGGTCGTTTTCTCCTCCGATTTTCGAGCGGCTCACGTTTTTTCGCGGACGTCGGGGAAGGGTCTGGATTTTGTCATTGGAGGTGGTGGGCCCCTATTGACGGCACGGACGCGACCGAATGATGAGTGGGGTGATTGACTTGATGACAGAAGCATGATTACTAATCCCCGTTTCGTATCATAAGTCATTTTGATTTTCTTTTTGCAAAATTAGTTAGGTTAGTTAAGTTTATAGAAAAAATTAATAATACGACTACACCTCATCAAATTCAAATTAAATGTATTTTGATAATATGTTTGTTTTGTATTGAAAATATTATATATTTTTTCTACAAACTTATTAAACTTAAATAAGTTTAACTAATAAAAAGTCAAACAACTTACCATATAAAACGGATAGAGTAATTTCCGAGCGGTCTCACCTACTAGACCATTGCTAATCAAATAACGTGCGGCCTTACAAAAGAGATCATGAGCCATCGTATGGAGCCCATAATTGTGGATTAACATGGGGGGAAACTGTTTTAATCACTCGGGTGGACGTCCACCCGTTTGTTGTATGTCATCTAAATAGTTATGAAAAAATTTGAAAAAAATAACAAGATATATTAATATTTAATATTTCACTCCACAAACATGCAAGTTAAAATTCGACTTTTACAAATTATAACAAAAATAACAAACAAAACTCAAATTACTATACGTATGTTTGCAGTTAAATTTGTTATTTTTGTTACAACTTGTAGAAGTTGAATTTGGACTTGCACGTTTGTGGAGTGATGTATTACATATTGATCTATCTTTTCAAATTTTTTCAATTTTTTTCATAATCATTTAGTTGACATGAAATAAACGGGTGGACGTCCACCCGAGTGATTAGAATCCATCTCCTTGACATGGGAAATATTCGTTCCGAATCGTCATTAAACCAAAAAAATTTTCTCAAGTTTTCTATTTGTTTCCAAATCGTGTTTCCAAATTTTCTCACATACGACTTTGTGCACATCCTCACCTAGAAGGAAGCAAAACGCTCTTAGGGTTCCATGCCATGGCAAAAGAAAGGCAGAGCGGTAGTGGCGGCTTGAGAACAAGGAGAAAAAGCATGGAAGCCAAAAGATACTCCTACCGACATCGATGACCTCCTATAGTGCGTCCTCCTCCGCTTCATCACCTCGTCACCTTCGCCTGCACGCGCTTCTGCTGCCTCATCGCTAATGCCTGTCCGCCCGCCGTCCTTGGCCACTACTACATCCTCGACTGGCTGGAAAGACACTCACATGTTGATAACAATCCGGCCTAGGTGGGGTTGACCGAGGCCCAACAAATTAAGGTAATCCGGACTCCAACAGTTCTTAGGCACACCCACTCGAGGAAAGGCCCAATCTCCCTAAAAAGACCAGTCCAATAAGTGAAGGGTGGCTCTCCCTTTTAAGGTAGCTTCCTCCTCCTAAGCTAAGCAGGGTGGGGTTATTCATAAGCTCACACGGTCGCCGCCCGACTTTTGCATCTTTGCCAGCGGGTAATAGTGGAGGATGTCCTCATCATTCCCACCCCCTTAACAAGGGCCCAGCTCTGATACCACTTGATGAACCCTGAGCTCCACTTGAGACACTCAAGGCTGTTGTTGGCCCGATCTTTCGGTGAGTTGATGATAACTACGATTTGGGAGAAACATTGACGACCCGACTACAACCGTACTAGACGTTGTTGTGTTGCGCCTTAGCGATCGATACACCTCTCCGTGGGTTGTTGATCTTGCCGGTATAGATCAACCTTATTCCTGCAAGCAAATCGAAGAAACAAGCAAGAACAAGATAAAAGCAATCTGAATTGAAAATAGGAATGAATACACACGATAAGTTGGGGTTTCTAATACAAGCAGATGGACGGTCTAGCCGACACGCGTGCTGCAAGGAAGTAGCAATGGCTAAACTTTCATCTAAACAAAACCCAAAAAACTCTAAAGGGGTACCTAGCTAATTATAATGGTGGGAGGATGACCAAAGGGACCCTAGGGTCATGATCTACCTGATTGGGGCGCATCCCACATGGGCCCCACTTGGGCCGGGGTCCCATACGAAGTTACATGCCCATAGGCCCATGACAGGTGACGCAACACCTTGTTTCTTTGATTGTGGCCAACTGAGATGGAGTTTGGCGATGAGGCTAGATCCGTTGGAAAGAGGACTCCGAGACCTTTCCATCAAGTATTCACGGGCCCAAAACGGAGCTCGTATGCAAATTTGGCAGCCGTTTGAAGTCAGCAGTGTAGCAAGTGGCCGAATCGGATTCCAGCACTTGGAGGACTTGATCTTGATATCATCTTGTTCATTCATGATGTGAGCAATGGTTGTATCTGTAGTAGCCATGGTCACATCACATGTGGTCAATCCTCCGTTCATCCCCGTGCCTTCGTCGGATGGCTCCAACAGTGGCAGCAGTTGTTTATCCCTCGACTACCTCTTGTTCACGGACATTTGAGGCACGTAACGATCACTGGCGGTCAAGCTCCCCATTCCCCATCCCACTTCGCTTCGTCCCTGTCGTGTGAAGCTCGTCCCCGCATTCCACCGGTGGTGATAGAGGGCAGCAGGGCCCCAAATCAGACGAGTGACGAGACTCCCATCACCGAGTTAGGCTGCTTCTTCATCTGCAGCTTCCTCCTGCTTTCTCAGCCTACGCACTGCGATCCCTAAGCCTTGCAACCATGGGAGAGGGAGGCGTGAGGCAGGGCCGCGAGGGGAAGAAGCTTGGCGACAGAGTCCATCTCGGTGTGATGGGCGAGTTGGAGCTAGCGACGATAAAGAATGACACTAACAGGAGGTCACCGCAGAAAGAGATGGGGTGCATATGAGGGAGGAGCGGGGAGGTCAACAAGCTCCTTCCACCTCCTCTGGACGATGACGCTACCATCTTGATCCTCCGTCCACTAGGCCCATCGACGACTGTGACCCCGACGCCTCCTACCCTTCTTCGACTAAGCGCCGATGGCAACATCAGCCTAGCAACAGTTGTGTCACGCGCGACAGAGCTAGCGCCCTGTCCCCATCCCTCCCCGCAGTCGTTTGCCTATCTCTCTCTCTCTCTTTGTCGAGATAGAGGGAGTTGGAGCTATACCAAACAGGACCTAAAAGACAAGAGAGGATGGGATGTGGACACATTGATTTTTTTTTCTCTTGAGATATATATGGGTCCTACCTTTTTAAATTTCGCTTTTTTTCCTTGACTGAAATGTCATTTAAGTGCCACTTACATGACAGGTCAACGTAAAAGACCGGGTTAAATGTCACGTAGGCACCATGTAGGGCAAAACCATTTAGGGAGGCAAATTAATCTAGTTTTAACAGTTGAGGGAGCTGTACCTTTTTAAGGGCAAGTACAAAGGTAGAGACCGGTATGGTCTCTATGTTAATTAGAGGCTATCACGTTACGATAGTTAAGACAATACGGTCTCTAACCATTAATGTGCCAAATTACTTTCTTACTAGCCATATTTCCTTTATTAGACTCAATGCAACAAAAATTTTCCTAATAAATGCGAAGAGTCGACTCTATGCCGTTGTCATGCGTAGCAACCATCTTTCTCTTTCCTTCTTCCTCTCTCTTCCACGTCACCAAATATGCTTACATAACAATAAAGAGAGATCGCTAATAAAGACCATTGTACATGCCCTAAGTTTTGCGGTTTGAGGACGCGAATAAAACTCGGTCCATAGGTGAGGGATGTCGAAGAACATTTCCCAAGCTGTTATGGTGACGCTATTGCAATCTGGGCCGGGCTGGCACAGCCCACATATATCTATAACTAATATAAATATTTATATTTTTCCGGTCGTCACATCTAATTTTCATCCATACACGATCCGATTCGGTTAGCAATAGCCATGGAAAAAAATTGCAAAAAAAAAAAAAAATCGGCCGCCGCCGACGCCTCCACCACCGCCGGAGGGAGAAGAGAGGCGGCGGAGGGAGCGCCGCTGCCGGATCCGCCCGCGGTGGCCGCCACCGCCGACGGATCCACCCTCGGACGAAGCCGACGCCGTCGACGCCGCCATTGAGAGGGCGACGGGGAGAGGGAGGGAGAGGGGGAGGGAGGGACGACCATCTCCGTCGTCTCCGCCGCACCCGACCGTCGCCGCGCCGCCCGCACCCCGCACCCCGCCGTCGCCGTCGCCCACGCCATACCCCACACCTCGCCGTCGCCCGCGCCGTGCCGACGGGAGGGAGAGGGAGCGGTCCACCGTCGCCGCTGCACCCCGTCGTCGCCCGCGCCGTGCCGGTGGGACGGGAGGGATAGGGGGAGAGGGAGCGGCGCCACCGGAGGGGAGGGGAGAGGAAGCGGTGCCAGTGGAGAGAGGGGGAGGGGGAGAGGCGGCGTCGGGGACGGGGGAGGCGGCCGGCTTGGTTGGGGGGGAGGGGGCCGCCGGAGGGGAGCGGGAAAGGCGGCGTCGGGGGCGGGGGAGGGGGGCGCCGGAGGGGAGGGCAGGGGGAGAGCCGGTGTTAGGGGTGGGTGAGGCGGCCGGCTCAGCTAGGGGGAGGGGGCCGCCGGAGGGGAGGGGAGGGGGAGAGCCGGTGTTGGGGGAGGGGGAGGCGGCCGGCTCGGCTGGGTGGAGAGGGAGGGGGAGGCGGCCGGCTCGAGGGGGAGGGGAGAGGGAGGGTTAGGGTTAGGGATTTCAAAATGATCTGAGCCGTCCATCAAAATAAACGGCTGAGATCGATCGAGGATTTGGGCCGCACCACTTGGGCGGCACGCGGGCCAACAGTGAACAGTCCAGCAAGTGAGAGGAAGAGTATAGGGATATAAATTAGACTTTGTTTGCTTTTAGGCTGAAGAAGAAAGTGGGCTGAAAAAGGCCCATAGAGATAAAAGAATTTTTATTTAAATAAATACTAAAATGATATTTGTATTATCAAAATTAGCAATTAAACTACGTAAATTCCAAGAAAATTTCAATGAGTGTAATTAATGATATAGAAAATTTAATAAAAATTAAATCCAACCATAACATTTTATTTCTCACACTTACTTTACTTATAAATTAATTTAATTATATACCTACCTACTTAAAAAATACCCAAATATTGCAGAAAATTTATATTTCATTTAATTAGAATTTAATATGTTCTAATTCAATTTTATCACTTACTTTACTTATAAATTAATTTAATTATATACCTACCTACTTAAAAAATACCCAAATATTGCAGAAAATTTATATTTCATTTAATTAGAATTTAATATGTTCTAATTCAATTTTATCACTTCCTGCTGTTCGTCAACGGGCCGTGGGGGACCAGCTGGGGCCACCGCCATTACCGGCGCTTCTCCGACCTCCTCGTCTGCGAGCCGCTGACGCGTCGGTTTCAGGGCATCGCCCGCATGCCGCCGCCTCTGTGGAGCTTGGTCTTCTGCGGCGCCTACCTGATCGACGGCGGCGGCGGGGAGCGCGGCGTCGGCATGTCGAACTACCGGGTGCTCTGCATGTTCGGCGAGCTGGCGTGCGTCTTCTCGCCGGGGAACGACGGCGGCTGGCGCTTCGTCGACACGGGCTTGAAGTACGGCGACGGCGAGGACGTCGAGTTCCCCGAGGACACCCAGTTCGTCGGCCGCGCCGCCGGGAAGATCTACTGGTGGGCACCGGGTGGGCTAGTGCAGGTGTTCGACGAGGCCACGGACACCTTCTTCCTCATGGAGTTCCCGAAGCACATGCGGTGGGAGTACCACAAGTCCAACCTCCGGGTGATCGGCGGCGTGGACGGCGGCGGGATACGCGTCGTCCGCATGACCGGCGAGGACCTGGAGATCTACGGCGAGAGCGGCGGCGGGGAGTGGGCGGTGGAGAGGAGCGTCCGGCTGGCCGAAGCCACCCGCGGGCTGCCGGGGCGTCAGGAGGTGTTCTTCACCGCGGAGGCGCCGGCTGCGAGGATCGTGACCGCCGGCGGCGACGGGTTCGTGACGCTGGCGCCGGCGGAAGATGAGACGTGGCTCTTCTCCGTCGACCTGGAGACCATGGAGGCGGAGCGCGACCACGAGAGGAACAAGCACGTCGGCGAGGCGCACCCGTGCTCGGCGCCGCCGCTCGCCGCCGTCTTCCGTGCTTGCGGCGTAGGTGACGCTACGAGGACGGAAAAAAGCGGAAGCCGCCTTTGAAACTGACGACGAACTTTAGAGAGTTTATTTTGAGGAACTGGTCGAACTGACTTGTGAAGATTCATGTAAAATCCTTGCGTTTCAAAGCTATTATTAGTTTTAGGAAATATTCTTAGTTCTAGGAAATATTCATAGAACTGATTTTTATTGGTGCACGGTTTATTACACATATAATTATGAGTGGTTTAAGAGCGCTAATGACCGTTCTTAGCTCTAGGAAATATTCTTAAATATGTGATTAATTATAACATGCTACAAATCTAACTGCATCGTTGATTATGTAGTAAGAGATTATTTTGGAGCTTTTCAATAATTTTGTTGACAATGAAGGACTCTCGCGTCGCTCTCCCCAGGGGCGGCCGGGTCGTCGAGCCGCCCCTCTCCCCCCACCCCACCCCCCTTCTCCGCCTCGCCGTCGCCCGAGCGGCCGCCGGCAAAGCCGCGCGGCCGCAAGGGCGGCGGCGGGGCGCTCCTCGTCTCCTCGCGCTCGGGCGGCCTGGGGAGCCGCCCGGAGTGGTGACGGCGGTGACCGCCAGATCCGCGCCGTTTCGGCCGGATCTGGCGGGATGGGCTGGCGGCAGGGACGGGCGACGGTGGCGGCCGAGGTAAGTGCACCGGGTGGTGTTGTGGGTGATGGCGACGGCGTTGGGGCGGCGGCGCGGCGGCCGGCGGTGGCGTGAGCACGCAGGCATCCCGCGGTTGCCGCTGGCGTCCTCCGGCGCCCTCTAGGCGTCGGCCGGCGTTGGTGGTGAGGGGGGCGGCCGGATCTGGCTTCCTTGCTCAGATCCAGCGCACACTCGGGTGGGGACGGGGTGGTTTGGAATCCAGCCGTCGTGCAGATGGTGTGAATATTGCAGGTACCCTCGGTGTGTAGGTGACATTTGGTGGCTCCCGTCATGGATGCTATGGTTGATGGGTGCTCCAAGGCAAAAGCCTTGCTCCGCTCTCGGTGCTAGCAACGGCGACGCCCTTGGGCGTCGTTCACCTTCTTGAAGGCGTTGCTACTGGAGCCCTCGTTCAACTCCACTTCAAGAGTTTCCTCCGGGTGAAAACTAGATTCGTTATAGGATCGGACGATGTCGCCGTTCTGTCGGCATAACCTTTTTGAAGGCTTCGTTTTAGGAGTTTATCTCTTGTTGAACGACTCTACTTAGGTTCAGTTTGTCAATGTCGGGGTTTTTGTCGGTTTTTCTTTAATTAAACCGTGCTGTTGTAAGGTTTTTGGGTCCGGTTTCCCTTATAAAATGGATCAACTCTCTTCTTCTATAGTGAATTGTATGAGCTCCCTGCCTGTCCCCTCGAAAAAAAATAATTTTGTTGACAATAAGATTGATTAACACAAAATTAATAAGGACACATTGGCTTACTTTGTTCACGCTTTGCTATAAGCATAATTGCTACAATGATAGGTTGCTCATGAGAACATCTCGCCCATTTAGTTAAATGGTCAGTAAGCATTTTTTATCCTTTTAATGACGAACTTCACAAGTTTGAAGCTGCATAAACATAAATAGGACAAATGCAATATGAGAATTATAAATGCATGTTAACAACTTAGTAAGTTGAATATATACATTACAAATAATTGCAACCACAAACAGTTAATGCAATAGTGTTATGCATGAAATCGTTGATACCGGTCAAGCATAGTTGATGATTTATGAGAGGCTTCTAATACCGAGCCTAAAAAAGTTCTTCCCAGTTAAAAAGATGATGGCAGTTCAGAAATATAGCCTTATAGTCTAATTACATGTGTCACCAAAGGAAAGGAAAATTTATTACTGTCATACTAACTATACAAGCTGATCAATTACTCTATATCCTACCACTGTACAAACAGAGATAGTATATTAATATAGATATTTTAGCCCTCTGATAACAAATGTAAGGGGATTTGAAACCAAAATATGTACACACCTGCCATCAATCATAAGAACATTCCTACATGGGATCCTCCTTTTGTAGCCTCTATAGAGCTTACAAACATGACCATTCCAATAACATCTGCCACATATGAAAAGTGTGTTAATAGAACTTCTATTTTGTCACAAATTAATATTGTTTAGGTGGTGAATTGAACTACTTACCAACATAAATGTCATTATGGTAAGTAAAGTCAGGGCCGGTTCAACAATTTCGAGGGCCCTAGGCGAACTTGATACTATGGGCTCTTAACAAGTTAAGGCTAATTTTATTACTTCTAATCAGTGGCGGATCCAGGAATTTTTTTTAAGCCTGGGTAAGCCTAACAATGAACAAAAGTACATATATATTGGGGCAATTGCTTATTTGACCTCGTTTTGAATTGTAATTGCCGATTTGACCCTACTTTTTGAACTTTGCTTATTTGACCCTCATTTTCGAGTACGAAGCTCTGGTCTGACCCTATTCCGTTTGTGTGAGGTGACGGTGTTAATTTTGGGGTAAATAGTCCATTTTGCCCTTGCTTATTTGGCCCTGTTATATCTTGTTTGTTTGCTTGTTTGACCTAAAGTTTGGATAATATAAAAAAAAATCTCTTTCCCCGGCGGCGGCGGCGGCGGCGCACCCGCGGAGGAAGACGGAGGCCGGCGCGCGCTGGGGGGGAGAGAGCGGCGCCCTGTGCTCTTCGCCACAGCGTCGTCGTCGTCGTTGCCGACCGGTGGCGGCGAGCGCAGAAGAAGATTGAGGCCGACGCGCGCGGGGAGGGAGGGAGCGGCTCCCTGTGATCTTCGCCATGGCGTCGTCGTCGTCGTTGTTGCTGACCCGGCGGCGGTGCGCGCGCGGAGGAAGACAGAAGCCGGCACGCAGACGGAGGGAGGAAGGCGCTGGAGCTTGCCGGCGTGCGGAGGGCGGGCGGCGGCATCACGCGCGCGGAGAAAGGAGGAGGCTGGCGCGCGTGGAGTGGTGACGGCGCGGCGCCGAAGCTCACCAGCTCGCGGGAGAGAGGCGCCGCCGCCGCCGGATCTGCGGCTCGTACACTCAGCAGCCGCCGGATCCACCGCTTGCACACCGCCACGGCCTGAGCTCCACCACCGTTGCTCCTCTTCCTCGTCATCGAGCTCACCGTCGCCGCCACGACAGCTCGGCGCCACCGCCCCCACAGCTCGGCGTCGCCGCCCCCACAAATCGGCGCCGCCCCGCGCCCCATCAGACCGCCGCAGCCGCCGCCGCCACTGCCACCGCCCTCCACCTCCACAGCGGGCGCCGGCGGGGCTGTACATCACGCCGCTGCCGCCGCCTCAGCTCGCCGCCGCCGCCCCCACAGATTGTTGCCGCCGCCCCCTCAGATCGGCGCCGACTCGGACCCCCTCAAAGCGCTGCCGCCGCCGCCCTCCACCACAACGAGTGGGCGCCGGCGGGGCAGTGCTTGACGCCGCCGCCGCCGTCCCCTCAGCTCGCCGCCACCGCCGCCCCCTTAGCTAGCCGCCGCCGCACGCGTAGGTCGTCGCCGCCGCTGCACGCACGAGTGAGAGAGAGGTGAGACTGTGAGAGTCACGCACGATTGAGAGAGAGAGAGAGAGTCAAAATAGGGTTTGGAGGGTATTTTCGTCATTAGGAACTCTTGAAACATTTTCTTTTTTAAAAAAAATCAAACCCTAATGGAGTCATCAAAAGAGGGTCAGACGGAAGCTTCGTACTCGAAAAAGAGGGTCAAATAAGCAAAGTTCAAAAAGTAGGGCCAAATCGGCAATTACAGTTCAAAACAGGGTCAAATAAGCAATTGTCCCATATATATTTGTATAAATCCGTATGTCACTTACTATAGACTCGAGTAAAGGCAGGTTCTAATTTAGGTTGAGAAAAAACAGTACACAAGATTATAGTGCTTGTATTATCATGCAAAGAAAAAAAAATGATGGCACTAAGAGTTATGTCACTTTGGTTTGCTAGTTTTGGTTAAGCATGTTCATTAATATTACTGTACACCGTTGCTGCTACTGTCCTGTCTACATGCATATGACTCTGCTGATTCCTAAGAATGATAATTAATTACTAAATATTCATCTTAATTATCTATTGTTTACTGGTGGTCTGGTGCATGGGGCATGCAATAGAATCAGCAGATTGGGGGTAATTAAGCAGGTGCTATGCCTTGATGCATGGCTTGAACCCGGGCACTTGCCCATCCTAGCCGGGCCTCGGCTCCGCCAGTGCTTCTAATATATACTCATATATTAATATTGACGCAAGTAAATATTTCTAATATGATAAATTATAAATCAATCAGTTTGCAAGTTGCAATATAGTAATTTATTCTTGATAAATAATAACGATAATATAATTGACAAATGTTTTGTGAGCACCCGACAAATGTTTTGTAGGTAACATTGCAAAAACTGAAATAGTGAAATTGCAAAGTAAATTATACAACAATAACCATGAATTGAAATGATGAAAATTGGTATATAGTGAACTAATTGATTAGCACACCGCCCTCTGGCCTAGGCCCTACGCAATTGCACAACCAACCTAGGCCCAGGGCCGGCCCTGAGTAAACTAAAAAACTTGATCAAGTGGCATAAGCGGAGGTAATAATAGCAATACCTTCCCGCTCATATTTGCTATCTCACTAATAGTAGTGATACATGTGAAAACACACAAAAGCATGGTCTGCAAGCCACTGATGCACAATCATCCTAGTTGGCTCTATGAACATCCTTGACACATAATATGTGCACCCCTCACGAAGTAGGGGATGTAAACGATCCACTTGGTTATCATAAACAATAGCAGCAATCTTTGTACCCTATTTATAATAGATAAAGTCAAATGCTATACAGATATCATTGCAGTGTAACATATTAAAGCATAAAATATATAGTAAATAGGGTATATAGTGAACAAATTGATTAGCACACCTTCAACAGTTCAGCTTCAAGAGTCAACCTCGCTCTCCCTGGCGTGCGCTTAGGACTCGCACCTATGCTGGGGGTGGGCCCCCTCTAGCCTGGGCCATAGGCGGTTGCACAACCGGCCTATGCCTAGGGTCGGCCCTGAGTAAACTAAAAAACTTGATCAAGTGGTATAAGCGGAGGTAATAAGCAATGTCTTCTCGCTCATGTTTGATATCTCACTAATAGTAGTGATACATGTGAAAACACACACAAAAGCATGGTCTACAAATCACTGGTGCACAATCATCCTAGCTGGCTCTATGGACATCCTTGACACATAATATGTGCATCCCTCATGAAGTAGGGAATGTAAACGATCCACTTGGTTATCATAAACAATAGCAGCCATCTTTGTACCCTATTTACAATAGATAAAGTCAAATGCTCTACATATATCATTGCAGTGTAACATATCAAAGCTCAAAATATATACACGGACATTACCTACTCATCCAACAGAACCAAATTGAGTCTCTTCCTGCTCGGAGCAAATATCTCAACATGATACTGATGGTATACTCGAACACCTAAACTCTAACTGCTCGATGTACGCCACTATGCTCTACATGATATAGAAAGAATGAGAACTATGCTAAAAATATCTCCACTAGTAAACATGCAGCACTCATCATGTATGCCATCTTCATGGGTAATTTCCATTGTAACTGCCACTTGTGACAGTAAGGGCATGTTTAGTAGAGCTCTAACTCCTAAATTTAGCTACAGGAGTTGGGTCTGGAGTAGGGGCGGTACCACCCATTAGGAGGGGTTGGGCGGCCGGCCCAGCTACGGCCCGCGCCGCCCCAACCCTCTATATCCTTCTTGGGCCGCCTACCACCACATCCAATTCACAATTGGCCCATAAATAAGCAGCTAAAGTGTCCAATTTTAATCTTGCGTATATGATGCTTTCTTGAGTCAATTCCTCGACACTGCTCACCCCCGTCCCCTACTATAGTTAGGTGCCTAATGTTTTTCTCTCTCTCCCTTCTAAGCAAAATAATAATCATCTTATTCTAGGTATGCGATATCTTCTCATATATTTATTTTTTAGAAGATATCTATCAACCATGCTTTATGAATTGACTCATATTTGTAAATTGATATGTTTACTAGTATCTTTTTATGTATGATGAATTATGTATGGCGCAAAAATTATTTCTTTATTTTAATATCATTTTTGTTTTTAGTTTGTCTTAATTTATTAATTGTACTATATGTTTATATGATTACAACATAAATATGGTATTTTTTGCGTTTAGTTGTTCTTATTGAGACGAGCATCTTCGCACCATCTTTATTTTAATCCTGCGTCCGCCACTGGTCTGGAGTGGAGTTGTGGAGCTGCCTAAACCCAGCTCCACCTCTCTAGTTCATTTTGTGAGAGAGCTCCACCCAGCTCTGTTCTCATTTTCGGTGGAGCTGAAACTATTTGGCAGAGCTCCAGCTCCACCTCTCCTGGAGTTAAAGTTGGAGCTGTGCCAAATAGGCCCTAAGGTACATGCTTATTCTATTTTATATTTTTCTAGAAGTAATCAGAAAACAAATTTTACCTTCATCCATAACAAATGATTGTGGTGGGGACTCTGCATCATGGAGGTTGCGTGATGATGATGGATTTTACCATGGAAGAAGCCCTAGAATTTGGGTATTGCGTCGCGATGGATTCAAGACATGGTGTATCCCGTCTAGCTGCATGGCTTGCATTTCATCAATCTAGCGGTGCTTTCCTCTCATTTGGCGATAAACTTTGCCTAGCTGATCTTCTACAGGTATATATTTAAGTCTTGCCTCTCATCATGTGTCATACGTTGCCTACAAGCTCTTTGGTGAACACTTTCTTTTCCCCTCTCACTCAGTGTTGCATTTTGTCACGTTGCTCTTTGAGGATCTAGCTTTGCTTGCCTTTGTCCTGGTGTAAGTCTAGCATAGCAAGCCGCTTCAAAAAATATTTTCGTGCTAAATAAATTCATTGAATAATTTTAAAATTTTAATTTTGAACTATATATGTCATTAGAAAAAGAAAACTCCTGGTTTTAAGTCGATACTATTTGAGCTTTCTTCCTGTTCCAAAACTTAAACCGATGTAAGGGTACAATTTGTAGGATTGTATCTTTTTCAAAACAATTTATTACCACCACCGTGAGTGTGGAACATGTATTCAATACCCATGCAAATGTACCATTATTAAACAAATGTACCATTATAAGAATGTTTGCTAGGAGGGCGTGGCTTTACTGAAGGGTGAAAGAAATATAAGCACAGGGTGTAAGAATTTATATTAGCATATCAACGAGATGTGCCAAAAGCTAGCAAGATGTAGCTTGCACTCAAGTATTATTTAGCCACAAGTTGCAGTCAACAATTCTACTGTGTTTGTCCAATATTTTGTCAGTCCACATCCAACAATTCTATTCTATTGTGCAGCTACAGTTCCTTGTATTATTCTTTAGTAATCATGACTGATTAACTGTTGAGGTTTCTAATGCATCATCATATAAAAAAACACTAACATTTTTTTTCATAATTTATAACTTTTTGTGAGGGCAGTTCCATATCATGAGTAAAAATTACAATAAAAGCAGGCTCTTGTTAATTGATCGTATAAGAGTGCTCAGTGGGAAAAGACACTTTATCCAAAAAAAAAAGGAAGAATAACAAGCAGTTTAAATCATTTTGTTTTTCCTCAAAAAAATTAGAGTAAATTTCACAAAACTACATATACTTTACAAAATTATCACAAAACTACAAATTTAAGGTGTATTACAAAACTACAGATTTAGAAATAATTTTATCAAAGAACTACAAATTTAAGATGGATAATCACCAAACTACAGATTTAGTTTTAAAATTATCACAAAACTATATGTTTTATACCATGTTAAGTGCAAATTTACAACATTTATAAAACTCTATAACATTAGTGGTAAGTATTTAAACTATAAAATCTATAATTTTGTGATAACTCTAGTATTAAATCTATAGTTTTGTGATATTTTACTTTAAATCAGTAGTTTTGTGAAAAGCCTCGTGTTAAATTTGTAGTTTTATGAGACTGTCTTAAATATGTAGTTTTACAATAATTTGGTCAAAATACCTGTAGTTTTGTGAAATTTTACTCAAAAAAATTATCATTTGCTCCAACAGCTAGATAGTCAAAAGTTTTACTTGTTTCAAATTGATAGGTCAATTACCAATAGAGCAAAACTCATTAGATGCCACCAAGACTAAGCATATGGACTGGATGCCATAGAACAGACTAAGGGAGTGTTTGAGGAGAAGGGGATTGAGGAGATTGGGAAGATACGCAAAATGAGGTGAGCCATTAGCTCATGATTAATTGAGTATTAACTATTTTAAATTTTAAAAATGGATTAATATGATTTTTTAAAGCAACTTTTCTATAGAAATTTTTTGCAAAAAACGCACCGTTTAGTAGTTTGAAAAGCGTGCGCGCAGAAAACAAGAGCCAATCTCCCCTTATCACCCCTTATCACCCCTAAACGAACGATGCCTAAATGGCTCTGTTTTTGTCATACATGTAATAGGATTGTACAGCACAACTACAAATCAGTGTACAAATGATGATATGCTAAATCGCTTCTGATGTGGCTAAAAACTAAAATGGCGTGAATTCATGGCAAGTGAAAAAAATTCCCACTGGGTGCTAAGGATAAGACTTCCCTAACTTTGTACCACTGACATGTGGGCCATACTAAAGTGGGGCCCACATATCAATGGCACAACTGCAGACTGCATAAAGTTAGGGAAACTGTTTCCGGGTGCTAAATAACTATGCTAGCATGATTGCATGAATTTTTTAAGGCATAGCAAGGCAACAATTTTAGTTTATCCAGCAAGGAAAAATATAATTGCTTTCACAATGTAGAATGCAGCCTAACTAGGGCATCCCAGCAGCACCAGCAACAACACTGATCATTTCGCGGCGGGGGGGGGGGGGGAGGTGGGACACGTGTATTTATAATGTACCTAGCTCTAAACTTTAGGTTTTAGGTTTCAGATATTTTCAAGATAAAATCTGCAAAGCTTATCAAATAAAACCACATGATACAGGAAACCTTTTTCAGTTCTTCGCATGAGATATTTGACCAGTGTCCCTAGCAAGTAGCAACATAGATTGATAAAGTAAAGGCAACTCTTTACTCCCAACTAATTTTGTGGCAAGTAGCAACATGGATTGATAACTCTTTACTCCGACTAATTTTGTTGCCAAAGTTCGAACACCAAACCTGAACAAGTGAGTTTTGACCTGCCTGGGATGGAAGAGTAGGACTCAACTTCTGCAGCGACTGACCTTGCCTCTTTAGTATCAATCAGAGATGCTTCTACCACGATCGACCTCCGTTAGAGCCATCTCAGACTCCTTCGGCGCGGCCTCAACTGACGCTTACACCAGCTCGGACTCCTTCACCATGGTCTCCACCGAAGCAACCTCCGTGGGCTCTGCCTCCTTCGCCGCAGTCTCACTTGCGTTCGCAACCGCCGCCGACGAGGTTGGCTGCGTACTAGAGGGTGGCGGCGTTTCGTGGGGGGCATCATCGGCGCGGTGTTGCCGCTACTAGATCGGCTAGGTGGGGAGAGAGGTTGGGGGCGTGGTGGCTGCGATTCACGGTGGAGGCAGCCAAGAGATGCGGTCTCATGGGATGAGGAAGCAGTGAGAGCTCTGCCTCCTTTGCGGGGGAGTTGCCAACGGTGGCTTGGGGCGGCATAGCAGTGGCGGAGATGCGGCACACGGGATGAGGAAACGGCGAGAGCTCTGCCTCCTTTACGAGGGAGGCGACGGCGGCGGCAGCTTACTGTTGCGGAGGAACCGACAAGAGTGCGCGAAAGAGATAGGGAGAGGCGATAAAACGAGAAAAGTCGGGGGTGGGAAATTGGGGATCGATGATCGATCTGATGACCTTGTGTCGGTTGATTTGTCAGTCCCTCCACCGACATTTGTTGGCCCCAGTTGTCAGTGATACTACCATTGAGAATGTTTTAAAGAGTATAGATTATAGACAGATAGTACAAAGAAAGAAACAGAAATGCAAAATGACATAGTCACAAGCTTTTACCAATAAAAGTGTTAGAAATTTGAAGGCAAATGCTCAGGTATTGTTATTCCCTGCACTCACAAATATTTGCACAATTGAGTATCAAACAGTTACCAAAGACACAGGAAAGTGCTAGTAATGCCATGGTAGCATTCTAGCAGGCTTTACGGAACATACAACATAGGAGTAATTGCTTTTACCTGACTGACGAAGCCTGGAGCAGCTTATGTAAAACATGGCTGCAATAAACAAAATTTACACCTCAAGATTTCACACAATAAAACATACAGAGCACAGTATGGTTGTGTTCATCTTTAACCACTCCAATATTCATTCCTAGCATTGCCCTTTAAATTCAGTTCATGAAGACATTTCTAATGGTGAAACTTCCACTGAAACAACCCAACCAAGGAAGTAACTACACAGTACAAAACATTAAACATTATTACAAAGCTTCAGGAGTCCTCAAGCATCGAGATAATTTTTATTAGATTCGCTTTTCCAGATAGCCTATCAACACGAAGAATCTGTACCCAGCTGAAAGATATTACATTTCAGTGGATTCCATTCCGATGACGGGAAAGGACACGCTGGTCACCTTGATTGCGAATAGGAAACAGATCATCCTCCTGCCTGTAACCATGGCCACGGCTATTGCCCAAATTATGAGGTCGCCCATGGGTGTCAAATGGATGAACATAGTCTCGGTCAGGTCCACCTCTTCCAATGGAGGCTTTGTTCAAGGGCCTGTCCCGAAAGGGTGAACGGCTTCTCTCCCGTAAGTCTAGTCCCCTGTTCATGGGCTTGTTACGCATGGGTGAATGACTTCTGTCCCGTACAGCTTGTCCCCAGTTACCCCTGGGAGACCCCAACCGTGGTTCTCTTCGGTCAAGATATGGTCCATCGCGTGGATGCTCCCGGTGATTATAGCCATCCCAGTCAAACTTCCCACGCTGTCGGTGTGGAAGTTCATCCCCGAAGTTGATCCTGTCCCTGTGCATAGGGTCTGCCATTCGTCCTGGACGATCTTGGGACAACTGCGTAGAATAGTCCCTATGATCATCCGGTCGGACCATACCCCAACCACGCGGTGGTGATCTATACCTTTGTTTCTCCCTTGGCAGATCACGGCCACTCGGTGGACCAATAACCCTACTCGGTGGCCCTTGTGGTGGAGAGTTGAACTGGCGTCTGTCAGGACTGTAGCTGGACTTGTACATGGCAGGTGCATAGCGTTCCTTGTTGCAGTTGTTACAGTGAGACCGCCGAGCAAAATTAAGATTTCCGCAACTGAAATAAAAAAAATAATGAGTAATAAATTTACAAGACCATCAGAAGAATCTATTTCAACAAAGGAAAGAAGAAACAAATATACATTCAGCATACTCACGTGGGATTCTGACATATCCAGTCACCTTCTCTTGGAGACAAGTTTGGGTCATTCCTGTGCACATATTCTCCATTAATGAAGATGAAATCTTTTCCAGGAGCACCACCATCCCTCCTGTGTGGTCTTCCTCTTCCATTGGGAGGAGAAACATATTGTAACCTTTCACCTCCTTTACTTGCCAGCTCATATCCATAACGTGAACCGTCATTGAAATTGCTGCTTTCTACTCCGCGGCCACGTGGAGGTATCATGGAACCTGAGTGCGGGTGATATCCTGAAAGGCGAGCGACAAACATTCTACATGAACATTAGAAGCCACAAGGAGTAACAGTCAGCAAGTAGGACTTGCATCATGCATGAGTTCTGCAACTCCTGAAGGTGAACTGCTTTCAGCAAAGGCCCTCAAGAGTCAAACCAGAAAAAAAATGCATTGCAGAAATAAGCCTCTGAAAATAATTTCTGTCAAGTAAACAGCACAGTAATTGAAGGTGAACTCAGCACCATATGATCCTGATCTCTTGTCTGGTTTATAAAGTAGTTAAAATATCAACAATGCAGCAACCCACATTTGGGCTCGCCAGTCTTGCAGAATTCACATGTTCCTAAAGCCTGGTTCATCTCTTTATCCAATTCATATCATATAGGTTAGGCCTCCTGGAGCATGATCTAATCCTCTGCAAGGAGTTCCACCCTTCAATTTCTACAATCCGAAGAAACAGACGGACATTCCAGAAACAAGTGGTGTCCTGAGCTATTTTCCAACTTACCAAGCACTCCTTCCACCATTATTTCCCCCGAATCTCAAATGTTATTTTTAGCCATGCACTACAAGATAAACCAGAGATCTTTGGACAATAGATGAACTGAACATCTCCATTCTCCATGTTTCCATGGATCTTTTTCTTGTGTGCCAATCGTTTTGTAGTAGTGTAAGCAGTCCCAGGTAACTAGGCATCTCAATATCCAATTCACTTATAACCAAGTCCGCAATACCAAATACCTTCATTTTCAACAACATTTTCCTTGGGCAGATGCTTTCTTAAGCAACTAAAACACCCTAGTTTATTTCTATAAATAAGGTAATCAAGGCCTTATCTATGAGGAAGTAGCTATAAGAAGTGAAGAGCTCAAATCCCATAATTCTGTCTATTTTGACAAGAACTTGGATGACCAGGCAACCCAGAGTAGTGATTCCTAACAGAATACTTGCATTGGAACCATTTAGCATTGAACAACCAAAATATAGCAAACCAAGCCATTCAAATATTGTCAAGTGTCCATCTCTCATCCTTCGTTTTCTTTCATGTTTACACCTCCAATCTTCTCATAACTTGCCAAATGCATGACTCGGTAAAGACATTTCCAAGTGAGAAGTGGCATCTGAGCATAGACAGAACAGCTCAGCAGAAAAAGGCAGCAAATAGAATACGAACCCATCAAATAATAAATGTTCAATAAGTAAATACTAATGTCAGAAAGAAAAAAAAAACCACCTTGACATGTTATCACATACAAGATATATAAAAATAAACCGCCACAGTATATTATAGTAATTACACCAGCCATGGAAGCCATGGAAAAATATAGATAATACACACAACTTATCAAAGCAGTGTCAGGTGTTAGATATCAACATTCTAGTTTCTGACAAATAGCAAAGTAACTTTGGGCACAGGAAAAACACATGTAAAAGTTCATACCACTTACACTACATGATCATGTGACAAAAAACTAAACTTGGTGGAATATGTAACATAACTGAGGATAATAGTAGTTACCTCATGAAGAAGCAAACAGCCTTTGCTTAAACGTAGCTATGATAAATTTTTATTTATAGTTGCTCTATACAAATCTTTATCTTTACCTATTTACAAAAAAAAAAAAAATGTTTCCAACTTCTTCTTTTTTTCGTTTGTCCGTCTTCGTGAATTTTTTTCTGTCACCATGACCGACATGGATTATTTTTCCTCTGTCATTCGTACGGAAATCAGGCAGCGGTACAACACGGTGAATCCAAACTATTCGCTAGAGCCCAATGGGCTCATACTCTGGTGCTGCTTGTTGCATGGCAGGCTGTGGGCCTGCCTGCCCAAGGCAAGGATGCAGGGATATGGAATAAGTCCACTTTGACTCCCTCAAATATAGGATCAACCTAATTTGTATCCCTCAACTGCAATACCAGATATTTTGACCCTCCAACTATTAAAATTAAAACTAGTGCAAAATGACTCTTGGTGGTTTTGAGGGTGGTTTTTGCTAACGCGTCTCCTCTCTTAGACTCCTCTCTCTCTTTTTTTCTCTCTACTTTCCCCACATAGCGGCCTAAGGCAAAGCGGTGGCAGGACAGCCTCGAGGCTCGAGGCAGAGCCGCGGCGGGGTGGCCTCGACCCTCCTCTGAGTCCTCTCCCCTCTTCCTATGCCATGGCGGCCGCCGAGGAAGCCATGGGCGGCGAGCGAGCGGATCCAAGCAGGTCACGTCATCTACCACCGGACCACACCGCTCTCCCTGTGGTGTCAGCCTAAGCCACTGGAGCACGTCGCGCGCCCTTCCTGTAGGGCGAGCTGTGCGGCGGCGGTCGGCATTGGCAATAGGGCGAGGGAGCTAGGAGCTACAGCTTATCCTCACCTTGGGAACCAGAAGACGGTGTCCTCACTGGGAAAGAAGGGGTAGCTGGCGATGGCGCGCTCTCCTCGCTAGGAGATAATTTTGTTCAGTTATTTTAAAATTGTCTTTATCCGTTGCAACGCACGGGTAATATTGGTAGTAAAGCACAAAAATCAAAGTAGAAATCCAATTATGTCTATTCCACAGTACTGTGCTTGCTATGCTCTGGGAACATGAATATCAAAGTCCAAACTGTGTATGTCTTTTCATATTTTCTAAGCTACTATGCAAAATTTGTTTTCGGTAGATAAATTTCAGCTTTATTTCACAGAGATAGTTATTGGTTCAAGAGTTCAAAAACACCCCTAATAAAGTCCATACAGCATAGCACTTCATACTTGGCATATAGCATATAAACTTTGTTGTGCTGTTTGGACCAGATTGCCATTAGCTTTTCTTTTGCTTTGCTTTATATCTTTTCTGTAGACTTCTTCTAAGAAGCTCCATATATCATATGTGTCAGCCCTGATTAGCTCTATCATATTCCTTTGATCTATTCTTTGCTCCTGTCTCACTCAATACACCCATCAAGGAACAAGTTATCTCTAATAAATAGAATGATATATTTTTATTTTATGAGTTCCATTAAAGCTACTCAAATATCTCGTTTGGACATTATAGTGCCATTTCGTAATCATACACTTGGTAATTACTGCACGCAAGTTAAAAAGAAAAAAAGAACTAGAGTTTTTTTTTTGGGTCGTTGTTATGAATTGAAATACTCAGGATACTACAATTTTATTTTCAGTAACTTCAGCCAGGATTTGGCATGCAATGCTTGGCGTGCCAGCTTCACAGTATGCTTGTTCGCACAACTGATGCAACAAAATCAAACTCCCAAATGAGATTTCCAGGAAACCTACCTTGAGAAATACTATAGTACTACTACAACGGGATCGATCAAACACAGAATGGTACAAGACCGTAGCAAGTCAACGGTTTTGTTCTATTGCAAATCAAGAACTAACTATCCTTAATCCTTCTGTAGCATGTAGTCTAAATCCAGAAGGCAACAAGGAAGAAATCATTGCCACTAACAAGGAAAAGATAGGTGTACCAACCGGCCAATCAATCCTCGAAGTAAATGATAACAGAAGAGTGGGTAAGAACAAGAGGGTTTTTCTTTTCTTTTCCATTTTTTTTTCATACCTTGTGGCTCCTCACGGGGCTGGGGATACCTAGGCCGAAACCCCAGGGGGCTCCCGCGGCGGCGAGGGGGAGGAGGGGACGCGCTGCCGCCGCGGCGCCTCGGCGCCGCGTGCGGCTGCTGCGGCGGCGGCGTCTGGCGCGACTCCCGGCGGCGCATGAACCCTGGAGGCGAGGGCTCCCGCGGGGGGCGGCGTGCGGCGGGCGGGGGATCGCGCCGGCGCTCCAGCCGGTCGGCCGCGCCGTGCTCCTCCTCCGGCCCCCGCGGCTGCAGCTTGACCACGAGGCTGCTGAGGAGGGGCGCGCGCGGCGGCGCGGGGTCGGGGCGGCGGCGCGGGCGAGGGGAGGAGGAGCGCGCGTCGGCGTCGTCGGAGTCGGAGGCGGAGGCGTCTCTGCGGCGGGGCCGCATAGCTGTGTGGGTGTCGGGTGGTCGTCGGGACGACTTGGTCCGAGTCGCCCGACTATACATACGGTGGTTGGGTCAAGCCGGTCAACCCCGTGGGTTTTCCTCATTTTGAATGGCCTGTTTGATTTTTATTTTTATTTTTTTCGTTTTGGAGTATTCTGCTTTTGGATTTTTGAATTGGACCAACAAACGAATTCGGTTTTAGTTTATGTGGATAAATTAATTCGGCCCGAAAATCCAACTCACGAGCAAATGTATCCCTCCTACTTCCGATGAAAAAAACTCGGCCTAAAGCAGAATTCAGCCCATTTAGTTTCTCACGAAAAAGTAAGCCCACTAATAATACAGTCCACTTAACAGCCGTGAGAAAATCCGTACATGAATTTGGCCCACTCTGTTCAATTAAAGCTAATCAGCCCGCTTACCAATTCTTGACGAAGAATTCGGTCCACTAGTGAAATCCACGTAACATAGTTCCATCAACAAATAAGTCCACCTGTCATCCCTCAACTTTACGAGTACGTATGACATTCTTAATCCTCAATACTGGGAATCTCTTCCCCTCAACTGTTCAAAACCATGCAAAGTAGATCCCATGGCTGTAAAGCATGGGTGGTTTCGCTAACATGGCATCCTGGTCAGCATGCAGAGAATACAAATAACATGTGGGGCCCACATGTAAGTGGCCTAGCCACAGGAGATTTCATTGCCAAGCCGCACCCAACATATTGCCTCATGCCGGTGCTCCTCCTGATCACCCACACCGAGGCTGCCGCGGCATCGCGATGCCCTCAACTCCTCCCACCTCAATGTCCGCACTGGCCACTACACCCCACTCCCCGCTCAAGCAGCCCATCGCTAAGCACCTTTGCTACGGTGTCATAAACCTCAACAAGCCATCCAACCTCTTGTCGCACGAGGTCATCACTTGGAACAAGAACCTCCTCCACATCGAGAAGACTAGCCACAACGGGACCCTTGACCCTAAGGTCACCGGTAACCTCATCGTATGCGTCAATCGTGCTACCCGCCTCGTGAAGTCCTGGTTAGGTGCTAGCAATGAGTGCATCTGTGTTGCGTGCTTCCACGCCATTGTGCCCGACAAAACGCATGTCGCGTGCGCTTGAAGAGCTCATTGGTGCCATCTTCTATCGCTCGCCGCTCATCTCCACTAGTCCACCGTCAAGTGCCAGCTCCGGGTTCTAGATCACCACTTTGTCATGTTCTAGATCTCTTGCGATGCAGGTACTACGTTCGGATGCTCTGAGCAGTTCTGGATCATAGACGGCGACCTTGTCTCCTTCCGAGCAAGCCACTCCCCTGGATGACAGTGGGGATTTTTCCCCACTAGCTGACGAGGGCTATAGGGTTAGATGCATGCGTAGGAGGGGGTGTTGAGGGGCACAACTGGCGACGCGAAAGAGGGGGTGGCTTTGTTGGCACGGGGAGGGGACGACGTGGATGGGGTGGTCGGTGGCAGCCCATTGATATGGAGGAGACATGGAGAACAAATGGGGAAGTGAGGGAGAGAGGAGGAAGAAGGAGATGCCACTGACATGTGGACCCCACATATTTTTTTTTATTCTCTCCTTGTTGACTAGGATGTCACATCAGCAAAACTACCAATGCATATTACCATGGGACCTACTTTACACAGACTACACAGTTTTGAACACTTGGGCAGTAAAAGATTTCTAGTATTAGGGATTAGGGATATCATATAGACTCGACGCAAAGTTAAGCGGCGGAAGTGGACTTATTTCCACGTATTACCACACAAGTGGATTTGGCCCACCTATTTTAGTCTACGAATTAGGCCCACGTAATAATTTGGCCCACTAAAGTTGGCCCATACCACCAAATAGCCCACCGGAATAGGCCTCTGATTCCTCGCCACCTACTAGTTCCCCCCCTTCCCCTCGGCCTCCACTCTCCTGCTCTCTCTGCCCGCGTCGACCAGCGCCCAGGTCTCCACCTCCCGCTTCCCCGCGACGCGAGAGCCACCGGCGCCGCCGTCCTCGCCCGCCGCATCCTCGCCGGTGAGCGCGCGCACGCGCATCCTCCTCCTCACCATTCCTTTCCTCTTCCTGCCTCAAACTCAGCTTCTCCGGTAGATCTGAGAGCTTCTCTCCTTTTTGGCTTAAACAGCAGCTTTGTTTCGAACGAAATTTGTTCAGCTGAGGCTCCATCCATGCCGCCCGTTAGGTCCGCACCAGTGGCTCCTCCTCCGCCTCCGCCGCCGCCGCAGCAGAAGAAGCCGGCGGTCCCGGTGTCGAGGCCGTGGCCGATGTCCTTCACACCGCACCCACCACCACCACCGCCACCGCCGTGAGAAATCTCCCTCTGGAATTGGGATTTTGTGGTTTTGCATGTTGGTTTGTTTCTACTTTTGGTATAGGAGATCAGTTTAGGTGCTTTGAATTCTTGTAGCTTGTGGTGTGTGTGTCCTTTTCCGAAGGAATGGGGTGATGCTGAAATATGTTCTGTTTAAACGTGTTGGTTACATTGAATCTTTAAGTCTCATGATTCGAATGTTATTGTAAGCAGCCAGTTGTTCGACTCATATGTGCTAACTCTGTCTTTTTTTTTTCTAATAAGATTTACCTAACTCCGTGTCATTTTCATTGGTAAGATTGCCCGGCGTTCATTCCTTTATCTAAGAATGTTAGAAATGAGTAGTTGAGCTCAGATCGACCATTAGTGTCTGATATGGTGACTATATGCCAATGTCTATAAATGTGCATGCACATAAGCATGTTGGTGCTTGTGAAAAAACAAATGTGATTGTATTGGTAATGGGTTATCACACTTTGCCCTAAGTGAGGATTGATGCCTAAGCATTTCTGGGGTGAAGTTCGATACATCGTGTTGAAAATTTGGGGATATTTTAAGACCTAACATAGACCATGTTATTTCATGTGTCTCCATTGTTTCATGTGCTTAATGAATAAATCTATCAAAATGCCTAATGGTAACTTACATATGCGATCAAGATTGAAAGAAATCTATTTCTGAGAGCTAGATCTTGCTCCACTACAATACATGGATGCTCTTCCTTTTTTGCCTTTCAGAAGAGAGTTCTTAGCCGTTCTGCTCTTTTGCTCTTAACTTATCCTAAACAACTGATTCATTGTCTATTTATTTTCGTTTCAGAACTGTAGTGAAATAATGTTAATTGTAGATCAACTAGTTAATTGATAACAAATTACCTTGAACTTTTCATAGAGTAAATGCACTTCCAAGTTGAAATCAAATTCATTAATATTTTCCAAGAAATGTATGTGTTTCTTTTGCATTGATCTAGTGCATATGTTCATTTTGCTAACCAAGTCTAGTGCTCCACTTTTCCCAGGAAGCCAGCTGTTGAAGTAAAAAATGCCAGTCCAAAGAAAAGGAAACACTGTAACTGTAAAAACTCACGATGTTTGAAGCTGTGAGTATCTTCTTTTTTCTTTTGGGTGTAAAACTGTAAATGCAGTGTCATGTTTACAGCAAGGGAAAATATAGTGTTTTGAAATAGAGTACTGGATAACTTTTACATGTTATTTGCAAAAGGTAGGCTTCCAAGCAACTATTATCAATATGTATTCTCAGGTAAATGTTTAGTACCATCTTAAGAATCTCGAAACAGGTCAGTTATGATGGTCAATACCGGTAGGAGTTACGTTTGATTTTCCTTCATACAACATCATTAACGGTACCTAAATAGCTTCCTAAATGGTATGCCATGTACATTAGTGTGTGTAGTCAGTGGAAAGATAAGAGTATAACTGTTGCGTTGTGTTCATAGTAGGGGATTAATGTTTCCTTTTTCTCTTGTGGTAATCTTATTTCCTTTGCAGTTTGAGTTTGATGCACTTGTCTGCTATTCTAATTATAATTGTCCCGTCTCTGTGTTTTATAATATTCAATTCTTCCTGATTGCTTTTTTTAAGGCACATTCTCCCTAGGCAGACTGCTAGCAAACAATAAGTGCAACGTACTGATGTTTGTTGTCAGCTGACTTTATGATGATGAAACACCATCATGCCCATTATGCTTATAACAAGCTCACTAGCTTGATATTTGTTTGTTAGGTATTGTGAGTGTTTTGCAGCACGTGTATATTGTGATGGATGCCATTGTTCACCATGTGGAAACAAGATTGAGAATGAAAACATAAGGAAGGAAGCTATTGAAACAATTCTCCTCCGTAATCCACTTGCATTTCAGCCCAAAATTGAAAATAGTCCAAATACTGTAACTGTTCGAAAGGTACTACTATTCGCCAATATAACTCTTTAATATGACATACTATCTACATCTATACCATGTTGTAACCTTAAACCAGTGCTCGTTTTCCCCTTCAGTAGTTATCCTGATCAAATCCAGAAATATAATTCCAAAACATGCATGAGCTGAATGAATTTTATATAGATGAAATGAAACAAATTCACCAACAGCTCTGCTTTATTTTTTTGGTACACACCTTTCATTATCTTGCTTCGGTTGTGACAAGGACTTAAAAATGGCCATGATAGTGTCCCTCTATTCCATTTTTATTTTGATAAATGAGTTTGCAATGTAAGTTTCAATGTGGTTTACTGGTATGGTTTTATGCATAATCTCATACACCTACCCCTGATTGCTCAATACAGTCAGCATCCAGAGCTTTCATGTCATATTGACATTATTCCCTGCTTTTTATAGTTTTTCATTTTTATTTTGAATTCACGCACTTTATTTTGTCCTTGAATTGAATGTACATTTCTACGCAGGCACAATGTAATTATGCTCTTCATTTCATTTACACTGCAATACTAAAATATTTGTTTACATGGTTTAAGTAAAATATAAAATACCAAAGTGATCTTGGATTTGTGGGTAATGTTTTATAATTCTTAATGTTCCATTAGTACTAATTAATCCATTCATTTTTTTTAATGTCCTCTTGTCCCATCTTTTAGCAGGATTCTGGAAATTAAACACTAAAAATGATTCTAACTCCAATGTTTAGGAATAATTTGTTATTTCCCCATTAAAATGCCAAGTCCATTTTTTTTTTACCTTGAGCTACATGTGTTTATACAGTCTTATGTGACTTTCAGGATAATTCTGAAGCAATACCTCCGATACCAAAGCACAATAAGGGCTGTCACTGCAGGAAGTCAGAGTGCTTAAAAAAGTACTGTGAATGCTTCCAAGCAAACATCCTATGCTCTAAGAACTGTAGATGTCAGGACTGTAAGAATTTTGAAGGAAGCGAAGAGCGAAAAGCTTTAGTTCAAATGAAAAATGCATCTGATAGAAATCACATTCAAGAAGCAGCTAACTTTGCTCTGAATGGTGCCACTGGATCTTTAGGATACAAAAATTCTCCAGTGCGTAGGAAGAAATATCAAGAAAATTCCCTTGGAGAACAAATTTTGTCAGAAGCACAATTTCAACCGGTATGTTCTAATTGGTATGGCCAGCTGCAAGTTTTTGTGGACTAGAATTTGTTGTTACTGTTATGTGCTAGACTGACCATGCAGATGTTTCACAGCTTGCATCCTCTTGCACAGGATTTGGAGGGGATATTGCTATCAATTACCAAAGCAAATCATCTGAAATGATCTATAGGTAAGCGGAACTATATTTATATTTTCTCAAAGGGAATAACTCAAGAACAGAAAAAAAAAGGTCTATGTACTCAGATAAGCCATTTTGAGGTTCTTAATTCTTTAGTTAACATAGGTTACAAGTGTCCCTTCTGGCCTTTTAGATAGTTCTACTATGCCAATGTGTAATCTAGTTTCAGTGTGTCATGAGCTTCCTGTAACTAGTGCCATTTCAGATGGCTCAGCCTAGTACTTTAATATTTTTGAAAGTCTTCATGGGTTTATCTCAAAGGTTATATGGCAGCATCATTTAGTTATACTAAAATATGTTATATAAGAGGTATACTCTACCGCTTACTGTCTCTTCTTTTGATGAAATATAATATTTTCTCAGGTCTCCACTAGCAAACACTATCCCTCTTATTGAAGTCAATGATCTTGTCAAGAATGCGTTGGTTGCGTGCAGAAAGGCACCAGAAGCATTCCTCACAAAAGCTGGTACAGAGTCCTGTCTTCTTTTTTATAGCTAAATTATTCAAAACAACCTAAATTTGAAAAATCATTTGTTCCGTGTGAACGTGTGCATCAGTATTAAGAGGTGCGATGACATTTAGATGACACTTTGCCGTTATACTCTATTAGATTGTTTGGATCATTTGATTTCATAAAACACAATTTGGTATATGTACTTTGGAAGTTATTTTCCCAAAACTTTTATTTTTACTAGGATAAGGAAACTCATTTCTTAAGAGTTATTCGATTAAGTGAATCTCATTTTGGAAAGCAGGAAACCCTGTTTTATAGGAATACAAAACTAGTACTTTGTGATTTTAGAAAAACACATGCAACTAGATCATGATTTCGTTTATAGTGCAGGCAGCATCTCCAGAACCTGGTGGTATCACACTAAATAACATCCCACAATTTCCTTTTCACAGCCACTGTTCATTTTCCATTCCAACTAGTTTTTTCATATTCTCATATGCTACCTACCATTGAATGAACTTTTGTATATCAAGTGCTTCATGGAAATAAGCTGATCAACCATGAAAAAAGATGTTCCATCGGTTATTTTTGTCAGAGCAAAGATATCCATGTAACATGTGAAAAAATAGTTGGCTCAACCATGCAGTAAGCCATGCTTCCATGGTAATTGGTTGAATACTGGCAGCTCCAGATTCTCGACCAACAAAGTGGTTCATCTGTATCAAAACATTGTTTTGGTATAGCAGATCATGGACATCAATACATCATGTTAATAGAAGAAAAACATAAAACTTGTTTTTTTAACCACAAATTCATATATATATTTTTGTATTTTTCTAGGACATAGCGCCTAAAAATTTGCAAATAGTTTGCTAATTGTTGTGGGCTTTGAACTACATTTTGCTTCTACGCCAGTCTACTTGAATAAGAACGCAGACGAAAATCAGGCACATGCACATATCAAAGCAAACATCCAACTGGCCATAAAGAGGCAAAAAAAAAAAAAGATAGCGTAAAATTTCCGTACAACAGAAAATGGAGCAAGGCTGTGCCAGCACTATGAGCTTCAGGATAAATAGAAGTCGATGTATAAAACTTATTATATATAGTACTATATCTTTATTAGAGACAAAATGGAATGTATGGCATACGTCTATCACACTCATGACTCATGAATGGACATGACTTTCGACATTGATATGGTGATTGTTGTCTCATAAGCAACTGTACCTCATACTAAATTTTGTATACCACTTGTAAAAGGAAAACCTTATTTTGTAAGTTGTGTGTGATTAGGTTCACTGTAATTTTGTGCTCAAATCCAAATATTATTGCTCATATTTGCAGGCAATAAAGTGGAGATGCAAGCAGAGAAGCAATATCAGACAAATGATGAAATAAACAATGATAAGACCAAAGAGCAAAACTTGAAGGAAGCTTCTCTAAAGGACATCCAAAACAAGGCCTGTATAGATCGTCAGAACATTAATGGAACAGAGCCCCATCTAGCTAACTCTTTTAAAGATTCTAGGCCTGCATCACCAGGAACACAAGCACTAATGTGTGATGAAATGGATACTACATTCGGAAATGAGGATTATAGAAGTCCATTTGTGGTGCCTTCACGTGATCAGGATATTTCTGAGCTAAATGCTGATCAAGAAAGAATAGTATTGACAGGGCTGCGAGATTATCTTCGTGTGCTTATCACACGTGGAAATATAAACGGTGAGTGCAACTTGCTTACACTGTTATTGTGAATTTGTGATCCTAGATAGCACATCGTGTTCGGTTTGCTAAAATGTTAATTTCACACATACTTTGCCATGGCATAAGAGATCAAATATTATGATAAATTTAAAGACTATCAAATCTTTGAAAAAATAAGCAAAGCTTTCCTGGACAGTTAGAATATATGGACATTGACTTCAAAATTTCATTGATCACTATGGATGTTTATGATGAAACGCAGAAATATTGTTATAAAATAGCTCCATCTGAAAATTATATAAGGTTAATAATTTTCCATGATTGTATCTTCTTTTGTCGTTTTCGTATAGTCCTCACATATCAGTATATTACTAGAAAATAGCATTTCTAATTCTCTAGTGATTTTTTTTTCTGCTTTTACCTTTATTATTGGAATGTGTTGGTTATTAGACCTGCAATATCTTTAATTTGATTGCCTTTCCAATAAATCTGAGAACCTAATGGTCGGTGCCACAGCAACCAAATTCTCGTTAGAGACAGCAATGGAATTGGATTCCCGGAGGCATCATGGAGCAACAACTGTTTTTTCCCAAGACAAATCTATGTCTTCCAGTTGTCCTGAAACCCTTGGAAATAATCAAACATCTATGTCAAATGATGAACAAAAGGAAAAAAGTGGAGGTTAAGTAGTAGTATTAGATACACACTGCACTGTAAATGATCACCTCTGTACATGGATGGATAAGATAGATAGTATAATCCTCGTTGCCTAATTTGGGCAACCGGCCTTTGTAGAATCGATCATTGTTCATTGAGTGTAGCAAAGCAACACTTTCACTGATGTATTGATCAATTCAATAAAATGTCAATTGATTTTTTGGGTCTTCGAAATTGTCTTTCTGGGAATTGTGAAAAGCCGATGTCACTAGTGTCGATGGGGGATACCCGTAGACCGGATACAGAGGGTATTGGGGTCCGTTGGAACGAGAATTTACGTAATACGACATAAAACAAACAAAAGGCGAGGATTATACTGGTTCAGGCCCCTTGATAGGTAATAGTTCTAATCCAGTTGGTATGGGATTATATGATGGAAACCACAGATTACAAAGGGAATAACAGAACTTGATAATACCGACGAGACCGTAGTCGAGTTGGTCCGACTAGATCTCCTAGTGACTTGGGTCCTGTAGGCTCCGACTCCGTAGGCTGTAGTGGGTATGTTGGCGGTGATATTCGATGCTTTAGGTCCTGCCTAGGGGGTCCCTTTTATACCGCGGGTCAGTTGATCTCCAAGTAGGACTCGGAGATATCGGACCCCTCACGATATGATAAAGACCTAGTATTGTCCGAGTAGAACTCTTTCCATCCGTAGATACCATATATATCACATGATAGATTTCCTTAATGTATACGGAAACTATCCGTATACGTGCGGGTATACCGTATCTGTATACAATGTACATCCAAGGATAGAGGGTATACCTTATCCGTAACCCTGACAGTAGCCCCCGACTTCTGCTTAAATGAGCTCATGTCATCGATCGCGACTTCTGATGTCGGAATTGTTGTCGTTCTCATCTGGTCGATCTCGGTGTGAAAACCGTAGAGACGAAGAGCCATCGACAACACCGCATGAAGTTCAACGGTCATGAGTGAATTTAAATTGAAGTCTAAAAACTGCCGCGCGCAATGGACCCAGGATTTTCCAATGGCAATCTCTCTCCTTTCCTTGGGATACGCACTGTCGGAAGTGTACCTATTTAAAGGGATTTTGGGAATCCATTTGAAGTCTGTTTGCCAAAAACTCTCCTGCTTCCTAGCGCTCTTCGTCTTCTCCGCTTCCCGCAAAGAAAACCCTAGCTCATTTCCTCCGTCTTGTTCTTCGGTGATCCTCCGGCGGCAATGGATCTTGAAAAGTCTACCTCCACCATCGCGTCCATGAAGAAGCTGCAAGACGACGGTGCCCTCCCTGGTCGGGGGACCATGCAGAGGGAGGCAGGAGGTATAGAACCTGAACCCATCTTGGGCCGCATGGTTGTGGTCGAAGATTATATTTCTTGCGGTTTTATTCCTCCGCCTTCCGAGTTTCTTCTTCTTGTCTTGAACTTCTATGGTCTTTCTTTGCTTCACTTGAACCTCAACTCCATCGCATTCTTTAGCATCTTTTCTCATCTTTGCGAGGCCTACATTGGGGTAGATGTTGGCGGGTGTTAAATGTCAATTCTATACCGCCAACATTTGCATAAAGATCAGATAATAAAACATCCAACATAGTGATAGGTGCTTAATCTCACATATTCCACAAGTGTTGGTGTATATTTGTATGCAGATGATAAACCCCGGTGTTGGGAGAAAAATCGGACTAAAGTGAGGAGAATTATGCATCCTTACAAGGAGGGGTTGTGAACTTTATCAAAACATTAGTGAATCAACCCAAAACTCCGAGAAATGGACAGAGGAGAGCCCAGGGAGTCCACCGACTGAAGGTGTCACGCCCTGAAGTTTCCCCCTTTTCTTGCTAAAAAAATTGGTTAAATAAATTGCTCGAAGAAATTGTTTAATTAACCTAGAGTTGAATCCCTAATTAATCAATGCAATTAATAATCGGAAATGGCGTGGTGGAATTTTTCTTGAGTTCCCCATGTTGCAATATATTAACAGGATTTTTAGTGGAATTTTCAGAGCCTTGGAAATAATTTTAACCAATTAAAAATGAGCAAGTGCAATATTTAACCCTCAGGAAATCCTTTTTCCATTTCCTCCTTTTTCTTTTCTTTCTTTTTCTTTGTTGGGCCGTCGGCCCAACCTCCCTCCCACGCGCCGTCCTTGCTGGGCCGGCCCGCTCCTCCCCTCTCCTCCCTGAAGTTCTCTCTCCCTCCCTCTCTCTCTCAAGCGCCGACAGGTGGGCCCTACCTGTCGGGTCATCCCTAACCTCCCGCCGCCGCCGCCTGCTCCAGCCGCCCACGTCGTCCGCCCACTCCGTGCCCACTCCGTGCCCCGCGCTCGCGCCCACGTCGCCGCCCACCTCCTCCACCTCTCCCGTGCGCGCGCGCCCGTTTAGAGGCCGGGATTCGGTTTGAATCCCGTCTCTCCTATCTCTCTTTTCCTCCCCACTCCCCCACGTCGCTGGCGCAATAGGGGCCATCCCCGGCCACGTCCACCCCTTCCTCACCCATAAAAACACTCCCCCAAACCTCCTCTCCCATTTCCCTCACTCGCCGCGCCCTCCCGTGCTTCCTATCGTCGCCGCGCCGCTCTCCCGAGCTCCGCCGCTCACCGCCGCATTTCAGCCGCGCACCGCCGCCGCTAGAGCCGCCGCCGCCGCTAGCTTCGTCGTTGCGCGGGTCATCTCGGCCACCGCCTCGCGTCGCCGGAACCCCACCGGAACCCTATCTCCCTCGCGAGCCGGTGAGATATCCATCCCCCTCCGTCTCCGGTCAACAATGGTGGCCGCCGTGGTCACTTACCCCACCCCTAACCCATCTCTGCTCTCTCCTAGGGTGCCACCGCCGCTCGTCCGCGCCTCGGCATTGCCGGTCGTCGCCGCCACCCTCGTTTTCCGCGTCGGTTGCCGCTGCCCCCTCTAGTGAGGACTCCCTCCCCTCCTCTCTCCCTTCCCGCGTGCGCCGCCGCCGTTGGCCGCGCCGCCGCTCCGGCCGTTCGCCGGTCGCCGTCGGTGGCCGCGCGCCGCCGCTGCCGCACCATGGCCGGCCGGCTTGAGCTGTGCCGACCCGCCAGCCGCGCCTCCTTTCCGCCTTGTGCCGCTGCCCGTGGGGCCCGCGTGCCGGCGCCCCCTCCCTCTCTCTTGAGCCGCTGACATGCGGGGCCTGCTTGCCGGTGCCGCCCCCCTTGCTGACGTCAGCCCTGGGGATTTATTGCGCAATAAATTGATTAAGGACTTTTCTTTGTTAGTAAAAACATAGATTATCTTCTAAAATTCATAAGTAATTCATCCGAGCTCCGTTTAAGTCCATTCAAGTCTCAGTAAATTCATAAAAATCCCTAGAATCCATTAAAAATGGTTTTGTTTCCTGTTTCAGTAGTCTTATAGCATGTTTTGCTTGTGTGCTTTGTTTGTCGCATAGATCTCGGCCGTTTCGTCGATCCGCGGTTTCTCGAAGACGTTGCTAAGGTCTCATAAGTGCGAGAGCAAGGCAAGTCATGCATTACAATTGATCATATTGTACCCAATTTACAAATATCCCGCATTTCTGTTAAATGTTACATTCTTTTACAATGTCATGTGGGATGGGTCCCCTTACTCAGCCATATATTGTTTACCTTATGCCATTGATAACATGGGTATCAAAATGACTAGATGTTGGTTTAGGAAATGCTTAGCCATGCTTAGTTCAACTAGTATACAAATGGGGATCACATTATTGCATAGACTTTGACTATTAGCATAGCTTTGGATTGGTGCCACCGCAATGGTGTTAGTTAATTAAAATACACTGAATGGTGGGCTGTGGGTGCATGGTTTTGCTGGTCGCACCATGGCAATTAAGGACCGGTTCACGGGAAACCCTGGGAGACTTACCGTGTTTACCACAAGCGGGAGTGGGTAACTGCTTGATCTAAAATATAGCTCGACCCTTTCCTAGGCATCGGTGGCGAGGGTGGGCGTGATGGAGTTGGGTCGGTCGGGGTGTCCGGTTGTCTAGCTGCCGGATTCACCGCGACTCAAGAGGGGACCGTCCACTGCCTTTTGAGGGGTGGGGGTGAAACCTTAGCGTGGTGTGGATGGTTAGGGGAGGGTTATGCGGAGGGTCTTGTCACGATTTCCCCCTTCGCAGTATCATGGTGATACTTCGGGGCATGGCGACATGTGTGGAATCGTGTCTTGTGGGTATAGTTGTACACCTCTGGCCAGAGTAAAACTATTCGAATAGCCATGCCCGCGGTTATGGGCGATCAACCAGATTCACCGTGATTAGTCTCACCCCTTGTTTAGCTTAATGAACTGGTGTAGTTCAGGTGGTTGGTTGGGCCTATTGCAACGTGGTGTAGCGTTGGACAGTGATTGGTTAATATTGATTAATTACTACAATTGTTTTACTGCTTTCAACTACTGCTTTTAAATGCTAGCTTTGTGCAAATGAACCCCTAGCCTCCTTTGTTTATATCATGCATCTTACCTCCTTTTCCGGTATGACTTGCGGAGTACAGTGGGTAGTACTCAGTCTTGCTCTCTTTTCCCCCACACTAGAGCTGAAGATCTTCCTAGTGGGAGCTGTCCTGTTGAAGTTGGTTTCGTCGCTGCCGTCAAGGATTGCCTGTGGAATAGAGTCGCCCCACTGTAGAAGTCAAGTTTCCAAGTTTAGCTCGTTTTATCTTTTCCGCTGCATTTGTAATCTTTTATATTTTTGTAAGACGTGGATCTGTATGTCAACAATTGTCGTTTGTGTACCCTGGCTGGTCCTGGACAGGGATTTAATGCACATTCAGCCTAGAAATTCTGGTTAGTGAATTTCTAGGCGTGACAGAAGGCCAGGCCAGGAGGGCCCAGCCCAGGTTCGGCTAAACCCCTAGGTTCGGCCGAACCCCCTGGTTCGGCCGAACCCCCCTAATCACCGTTGATCCTGGGGTTTGGCGTGGACGCTCCAGATGCTCTCCCAATGACGGTTGCGGGGCAGTTCGGACATTTCCCCTTCGCTAACCGTCATACCTACCTCTATATTAAGGCTTCACTTCCTCACTTTACACATACACTTCCAAGCTTGAGCTGAATTATAAGAGTCCTCCCTGTCCGGCTACGTAGTAGAGCGACATCTGGGAACAACGGGTTACCAATGCCTGAAGTATTGCGTTAGGATTAAAATTAAGCTTTCCCTAGACACTGTTTCTCACTAGTCAATCCTCTCTATCCTGGCCTATCATTTGCTTGGTGTCTTTGGATGAACCGGAGGAAGCTCTGATCACACACGTTCTCTTGGATTCCATACCCTTGGAATACTCCGTAGGGGAAGTGCTACATCGGTATATCCGTGCGCTTGCGGATTTTATCTGTAATCGTATCAAATACCAACAGTAGAGCCCTTCCTTGATCTCTTCTGCTTTTACTATGAGTTGCGTTGGATGGAACCCAACAGGGTATCTAGATGCGTTGGATTCCGACTTCGGGATTGTCTGAAGTCGCGTTACATCCCCTTCCAATGCCCCTCTTCTCGCAGCAAGTGGCGAGCGAGATGGTTCTATCTTTAGATAGAGAACTCGGATCCCGTCCTTGTTGTCCCTAAAGAACAGCCAAACAAAATCCCAGAGTGGACCACCAAACCCGCCCTGACTCCCTCCCTCTAATCTTTCATCGACATCATTGATGATCTCCGAAAACGGGGGTTGTCGGTGTACGAAGTCGCTGCCGACTTCGTAGATAGGCGGATTCAACCGCTGCAGGCCCGCGCCCATCCGGCCTTTGATTACTCTAGGCCAGAGGACACGACCCGGGTCTCTCCTCGGGGTATTTTTTTCTCGTATTTCTAATTTTGTTCCGAGTGCATCCGTTTCTCCTGACTTATCGAGTTCTCGTTCTCGATTTACAGGTCTGGACAGTGACACCGTGGAACGCCGTGTCGGACAGGTGATGATGAGCGCCCCCTCAGCGGCGGACGACATCCCCGTCTCTCTTTGCGAGAAGAACCCGGCCGAACGCATCGCTGCAATTAATGTGAGTGTACTCGATGATTCCTTTACATCTTTCTTCTCGAGATCGCGTTGTGACTTCAAGTTGTGCAGGCTCTCCCTCTGACGGACGTCATCGGGCCACTCGTGGACCACCAGGCGGCAGCGTCGTTGAAGGAAAGCGTCGCCAAGGAGGCGTCTGACATTGTTGTTGCTGCCACCACGAGTGGCAGCAATGTTCCAAAGAGGGGAAGGAAATTCTCCTTCGTACTCAGGACCCATCGGAAAGCGACGAACTCTGCGGTAAGCCTCTCTCTCGTTCTTTAGCGCGTAGTCGGAACGACTTGACCTCACCCCATTTCATCTTACTCAGGACTCGGACGCGTCCCCTCTGCCTCAGCGAAGGCAGAGGTTCGTGACGATCGGCGAGAAGTAAGTAAACGTTCTTGAAGTCTTTTCATTCTCGAAGTTTTGATCGCCTAGCCTCATGAAGAGAAGGCAAATATTCGCAGGATGGCGCGGGCGAAGGTGGCGCAAGGCAGGACTGATGCTGCTTCCAGCGCGTCCCCTACGGCAACCTCGACAGGATTCGTGGTTACCGCTAAGGACCAGGAGGTGACGCCGAGTAGCCCTGTCGTCAGCCTCGTGCCTACCCGGAGCCTGTCCACCGACGCCCTCACCTGGGGAGAACTCCAAGCGGAGATGGAGCGCCTCCTCCAGGCCGGTGCTTGCGGCGTAGGTTGCGAGATCGAGGAGGCCAGGGCGGCGGCGTTGTCGGCAAACCAGCGTGCCGACCAGCTGGCGCGCGACCTGGCGGAGGCTCACGAGGACCTCCAAAAGATGAGGGAGCTGGTGGCCGGCAATGAGATGCAGTGGCGTGGACTTGAGCACCGGATGTCGGAGCTCGAGGGCCACATGATCGACATCCGCGGTTCTCTGCGGACGTCGTTCACCAGCCTGCACTAACTTGTCGGGGAGTGCGGTGTCATGACTACTATCCCGGCGTACCCCGATGAGTTCTCGCTGACGTCGTCGCTCGCGGAACTGACTACGGCGATGGAGGAGATCCCCTCCAAGCACGTGACCAGGATCGGCGAGGAGACGTCTAACGGCATCTATACCGGAGCATGCCACGTCCTTGCGTGCATGAGGCTGGCGCATCCCGATCTAGACCTTAAGAGAGCTTTGGATCGGGGGGCCGCCGATGACGCGCGCAAGATTATGACGGAAGAAGTCGGTGACTTGGGGGAGTCCGTCCTCCCCCTTTTTGAAGAGTAGGATATCTTCATGCTGTAAAACTATTTGTGGATCCAAATTGCTCTTATCTAAACAGCTGTTTCCCTTGTTTCCTTAGCATGTGATTCCGAGTACTTTGTTGTCATTGTAGAGATGTTGATATCGAGGATATCCAGCAGCACGGGCAGCCCGATATGCCGGTGATTGTTCCGGCGCTTACGCTCGAGCCGTTCGTGCCGCGGGAGGAGATCAGTCAAAGCCCGTCCGCGGAGGCGAATATGGCAATGATGTCCCAAGGTTTGTGTCTTGGTCTCCTTCACTCCTTGTGTTTGGATTGACTTAATTAGCCGTGTTCTCGGAAGAGAAGAGTAGCTTGACTCAGTCCTTTCCGTGGCGGGCAGACTTCGAGAACATGTTGGCTGACCGAGATCGTCGAATCCAATATTGGAAGACGAAGCTCGAGGTGGCCGAACTCGAGAAAACCATGGTGGAGGTGAAGAAGGACCAGGCCGTGGAGGCTCTCCGAGGTCGCGAGGTGTGGTTCAACTCGTATCTCAAGAGTTGCTGCACGACGATGGCGAGGGTTTGCAAGGAGCTCCGAGTTCCCCGCGGAGATCCCGAGGAGTCGGCGGCTGGTTATATCTCGTAGTTGAATGGGCCTGCGCACAGCTCGAAGGGATTGGCAAGCGCATCGACGAGGCCCTGAAGCAGAAGTGTCGTCAAGCAAGCCGCTACGCCGGAGGACATGTGCTGGCCTGCATCCGAGATCACCGCCCGCAGCTGTACCTCGAGTTCCTGCGTGAAGGGTTCTTGCGTTCTCGGAGGACACCCGCGGAGATCGACGGCCTTGCACAGTCGATGGCGCCGCTCGCCGAGAAGGTTTTTCGCTCCATGGATTGGCGTTGGCCGTCCTGGTAGTATTTGTATCCTGTAGAAAAACATCTTAAGGAAGCATGTAATATACTTTGAAGTATTTATGACTTGTAAGAAATACTTATAAAATAGAAAAGGAATCTATCTAAGTTTTCTTACTCTGGGTATGTTGTGTATGAGTGTTTTCTCACTTTGCGACTTCGATCAGTCACCTGAGCCATACACTCTCCCTAGCCCCTAGCCTTGTCATCAGAAAATCGTTCTCAGAGGATAAGGCTCTTGGACCCTTGACCTGCCTTGGTTGAAAAAGTACTGACCCTAGCCCCCAGCCGTGAAGTTGGAAAACTCAATTTCCGATTACACGGCTTGGTTAATACACACGGTGAGAACTCTTATATGACCAGATCTTATATGGTCGTTTGTCTCTGCATGATCCGACAATGCCTTATCTGCTCTAGGCGTCCCCAGCCGAAGTTCTCTTAGGTTTCTCATAGGCCTTGCCAGAACGACACCTAGAGTTGAGACTAGTTTTTTTTTCTGTCCATAATAATCATGAAAACATTGTACTGATCTACTGCCATGGAAACATCAGCGGAGCAGAGAAACTGCTATTATATGTGTACAAGTAAACGTATCGTTTACATATTGACACCAAGTCAAGTGGAGCAGAGAAGGATTTGGATCAGATAGCGTTTTGTGTTACAATGATGCCAAGCTATATATTAGAGCAACAAACAGATGTAAGATGCAATGTACGGTGTATCATCATTCACCTAAGTATGCTTCCAGGCATCGTGGGCAATGCGTTCAAATGATATTATCATTATACTTTTTATTTGAAACAGGTAGATTATATTAAATAATAACATAGATTACGTTATTCGAGAAAAAAAAACATAGTTACAAGTTTACAGCCACAAATAGGAAAAAAAATGTCAAAGTAGACTGGGTGTGTTTGCAAGGAGGGGAAATAAGTAGACTGTAAAACCATGTAAACCATTAGGTTATGATTTATTGAGTAATGACTATTAATTATTTTAAACTTGAAAAATATATTAATATAATTATTTAAAAGCAATAGACTATTTAAAAAATACATCATTTAGCAGTATAGAAAACGTGAGCGTGGAAAACGAGGACTTTATCCCTCTTGTGCTTGAAATTGTCAACCGAAACCTAAGGGGGGGGGGGGCGTCTACGGATCGGACGTCCGATCTTTTAGGAGAAATCGGACGCCCACCCCAGTCTCCGTCAGCGCATGCAGACGCAGCCTGCATGCATGCAAACTAATTCAGCCTGCTCGCACAGAATGCATGTATACTAGTAACTGTTAGGGTGGTTAAAGTTTTTAAGCAAACTTTAAACTATTTTTTCTCCTAAATTATATATCCAAATCATGATCCGATTGCACCATTAAATTCATTGTAATTAAAATTTTAAAACAAGACCACACATGGATATATTCCGACGAAATTTTTTTTAGCTTATTATAGAATTATGTTTAAATGTTGCACGATGTTTCACTAAGTATATCGGAATTGTTTTACTAAGTAGATCGAAAATGTTTCAATCGTTTAAATTGGGTGTTGTTTCATCTTTTATAAAAACAATATTTCAGCAAATAGCGAAAGAATATTTCAGTTCACTGCAACATTTGATCCATACATAGTGAAACATTGTGACTACACTAGGTGAAACATTTTTTTTGGAAAAAAAATAAAACGAATTCCCTTAATAGAGTGTCGGTGACATGGGGCCGGGGGTATCGTGACTAGAGGCTTGGGTAGCCGCGATCACCCACGTGGCCCGACCCCCTCGGGGGGGTTGGGCCCGAGGGTGACGTGGCCACCCCTCCTTCTGTCTCCCCGAGGGGTCGGGCCGCTCCCGTTTCGGCCCCGAGGGCTGGGGCGCCCCGACCCCCTGTGGTGTTGGCGCCACGTGTGTGGGTTAGGTGAGCACAGCGGCGCTCACCTAACCGCATTTATAGCGGGTTAGACAAGCGCGCCACGCCGTATTCAATGCGGTGCAGCGCATGCTTATCCGGTCCGTGACCAGTCGCGGTATGTGACCGGTCATAGACTGGTCAGATCGCGGGTTAGGTGGCAACAGGCGGCCTGTCGCACGCCTCGCCCCGTCCCGTCGGAATGATGAGAGCTTCCTGGCTCTCGTCTCTAGCCGGAGCTGGCGTGCTGACTCCTGGAGTTGGTATGTCAGTCCCGGTCAGATCCATTCTAGGCTTCAGCGCAAGCATGGCAAGAAAGTCGCTGGCCATTGAATGAAGGTTGAAACGGGCGTCCACCGGGAGAGCTGACGAGCGGAGCAGAAGGCGTGTGCTGTGCTTGTCAGGGGTCACTTCTGGCTGTAGACTAGCCCTCATTGTAAAAAGAATGTTTCTTTTCTTAGGCAGCTTGAGGCCCATGTGGTGACCCCTGACCAGATAAAAAGGAGGCCCAGGCCTAAGAGAAGGAGAGAGAGAAGAGAGAGGAAAAAAAGAGAAAAAGGAGAAGAGGAGGGAGGGGTTCTAGAGCCTGAACGGTCTCTCGCTCTCCGGCTCTCTGTATTCCTTCACACACAGATCCATCAGAACACAGGAGTAGGGTGTTACGCTTCTCAGCGGCCCGAACCTGTCTACGTCGCCCGTGTCTTGTGCGATTCTTCTCGCTGACATTCCTTAGATCGAGGGCGAAGAACCTCACATAGCGCCCCCGGCCGAACCGGCAAAGGAGGGCCTGCGCGGTCTCCCGGTGAGGAGCCCCAAGCTCCGTCATCTGGCGCGCCAGGTAGGGGGCGCGCGTGTCTTTCTAAGCCCTCGTCCTCTTTCGTGTGCGCCAAGCTTCTCCCGCTCAGCCCAATGGCCGAACGGGCAGTGGCGCACAGCCTCTCTCCGAACGCTAGCGGTGACGACGGGGAGCAGAACCCGCGCCGTCGGGCTCGCACCCCACCATCCCCCTCTCGCCGAAATCTTGGGCGGGGGGAGGCGCTCGGGGAGGTCGAAGGATCCGCGACTTCGCCGCCCGCGGGCAACGGGGGAGGACGGCGAGACGGGGCGCGTCGCCGCCTCGTCTACGGCGATGGCGGCACGCCCCAGGGCGCGCTCCAGGCTGCGGGCGCGCTCCTGCGTCACCCGCCCGTCGTCCCCGATCCAGAGACTCCAGCCCGACGTTGGCTGGATGACGTGGCCGATTTGGTCATGACGGCACAGCAGCGCCTAGGCGCCGGCAGGCGGTCCTCCGCCACCGGGACCTCTGGCGCTGCCGCCGCCGGCTCCATGTCGTCGAGGCGGAGGGCGCGGTGAGCGGCGGCCGTTACCCGCTGTTCGTCCGCCATTCCCTCGTCAACGCCTCCGACCCAAGAAGATGTGCGTGGGGGGCCGGATGCCCGGCTCGATATCGAGCGCCGGCGCGACGATCGTCGCGCCGCCCACGCAACGGAGGGCGCTTCCTCGTCCGGAGCGCCACTTCGGTCCGGGCACGGGGGCCGGCCCCCCGTGTCCCCGGTTGGCGGTGCCGGCTGTCGAGCCTTTGTGGCGAGCCTTAGGAACGTCCGTTGGCCCCCAAGGTTCCGGCCCACCATCACCGAAAAATACGACGGAAGCGTCAACCCCGCCGAGTTTCTCCAGATCTACACAACCGGGATCGAGGCCGCCGGGGGTGACGACAGGGTCATGGCTAATGAACTTGCCACCCGCGTCGGTCCACTCTTGGGAGGATTTGTGCCAGCAGTTCACCACGAACTTTCAGGGCACATATTCGCGCCCAGGCGAAGAAGCGGACTTGCATGCGGTACAGCGAAGGGACGATGAGTCTCTTCGCTCGTACGTTCAGCGGTTCTGTCAAGTCCGCAACACCATACCATGCATCCCCGCACACGCGGTGATCTACGCATTCAGGGGGGGCGTGCGGCACAACCGCATGCTCGAGAAGATCGCCTCCAAGGAGCCCCAAACCACCGCGCAGCTTTTTGAGCTCGCGGACCGTGTGGCTCGCAAAGAGGAGGCCTGGACCTGGAACTCCTCCGGCTCTGGCGTGGCAGCTCCGGCCGCCCCCGAGTCAGCCGCTCGGTCAGGGCGGTGGGACAGGAGGAGGAAGAAGAGGTCGGCCCGTTCCGACGACGAGGGTCATGTCCTCGCCGCCGAGGGCGCTTCGCGGTCCCCCCGAAAGGGGAGGCCTGCGAACGACAAAAAGAAGGAGGCCGGCGCTCCCAACAGGGAGCGCCCAACCGGCAAGTGGTGTACCGTGCACAACACCTCCCTCCACGACCTCGCGGACTGCCGCGCGGTCAAAAGTTTGGCTGAGCGGACGAGGAAGTGGGAGGAG